CTTCTCTTCTTTTCTGCAAGCTAAATATCGAAACTTACTTTTCTAATCGATTTCCGAGTAGACCCGATTCATCAGCTTTCAAAGGATCGAACAAGTCTTCTATTTCTAAATCTTTTCTGTATCCTGTCTTGAATAAACCGATGGTCCACCTAATAATTCGATGAGAGAGATACAATTTTAATTAAATTTTATTATAGCAAAAGAAACAAACGTCTAGCTGGTATAACAATTTATCTTTTACAATTGCCTCGTCAATTGCAATGTCATTCTCTCTAATACAAAAGAAGTTTGCGTGATAAGATAAGATAAGATGTAATTTCATGCAAAATGTAATTTTATGTCACTATTTCAAATATCATTCTAAATCATTCATTCTTATATAAATACAATTACCGATTTACCTCATTAATAATAATATTTTACATAAACATTAATGCATAAATATTTACACAAATATTAGATATGCAAATATTTAAAAGTGCAAATATACATATATCTAAACACACATATTAAATATATATTTTAATCTCCTAAATATTTAAACGTATTTGACTATCTTCAAGCTGGAATCTTATGAAAAGTCTAATAAAGTTCGATCTATTCGAGAAATTGCACGACTTACCACCATAGTAATACCGAAACAATGTTCGCCTTTTCCCTTGGATTGGGTTTCGATTTGGTTTTTGTTGAATACATCACTCTTTACATACGGCATTAACTCGCCGCAAATCATCACTTGAATCAGCAGGATAAAACGATCGATTCGCTTATCGAGTTAGCTAATACGATAATTATCGATATATGTGTATCACTTCTACTTGATGTTTGAATTCTCTGTCGTGATACAAAAGACTTTCTTCCGCTTTTTCAGTAAAAAAGTTTGCGATATTAATATGATCTCTTTAATTATCATTAGAAATCTTGCAATAATAAACTGAAGATATCAAAATTGACACTCGTTGATACCAAGTTTTTCAGTTGCAATCTCTTTGCGCAATTGCAATCACATTGAAATTAACTTGCATCTTGTATCATCTTCTTTTGCAGACATCATCAATTCCCACGATGAATCATGCTGATTTATTTATTTTGCGAATCCGTGATGATTTTCTGAAAGTAAGATATCAGATACTAGATCTGTTTGTTATCAGTGATATTTAAGTGCTTTCATGTGCCATTTTGTGAATCTCGAGATATCTATGATTTTCTCTAAAAATTTTGTAATAATAATTAAATATGTACTTCGCTTATTTCGACAATAATTAATTTTTTCTTTTAATTTTCAGGCAATAAAATTTTGAAGAATGTACAATTTACTAATATTTTTATATTTGCTTTTTTTTTAATTCTGCAAACCCCGTAGAAAAAAATGAACGCGTTAATTTAATTGTAATGTGTACCCAATCTCTCAGGAAACACGAACGATCGACTTGTCTCTTCAACGTTCAAATGTAGACTTCGAAAATTTCTACATCTAGTTAAAGGAGAAGTTTATATCATTCCCTCTTCGCCTTATCTGTAGCTACATGTGATTTATTTGCCTGTTGTATCATTTCTCAAATAACTTGGAAGGTCATGCAATCGCAGCTATAATTTGCATTTATGTACAAATAATGAAGTACAATTGAGATGCACGATTGTTTGATGAGTTTGCTATATCAAACGCTTGATATTAAATCTTGTTTTTATGCTAGACATATATACAAAATTACATAAGAAAAAATTTTAATTTGAAATTTAAACAAAACTTGTAAGATTAAAAATTAGAAAATATCGTAAAATTAAAAAATTATTCGCATTTAATTCACACATTAATCGTTATTTAATTTTTCGTTATTTAATTAATTATTTAATTAATCGTTAAAAGGTGAGACAATTGCGATGTTTCTAATTAATTGGAATGGAACAGAATCTTCCTTTAGAACTCGAATCGAAGGAAGATCTTTATTGTCTATTGTGTGTGTGTGAGAGAGGAGGATATTATTAAGAATTATTAAAAGACAATTGATTCAATCATTATATGTATATATGTATTGTTATTCGTAAATTTTAATTCACATTTTATATTATCTTTATATAAATTTGAATCGACAATTTATGCTTCACAAAATTTATATATTTATTGATAGTTACTGACATTAGTTCCAAATTAAGGAATCGAAACATATTGTTAGTACTTACCGCACTGGCTTAATCAGTTCGCTATTTTCTTGTGATATTAAGTTATCTTTACAGATAAATTTTGAATATAGAAAAAATTCACTCACGCTTTTATTGCGTGAATCACAATATTATTATACAATTGTATAATTATAATTAGAGGTATATATATATATATATATATATATATATATTTATTTATTTATTTATTTATTTATTACAAATTTCTCTTTCTAATCAATATTTCAAATCAAAGAATAAAAAACGCCTCGAAAAATATATTAGGATATTATTATATAGTTATATGCCTCTTAAATTATATAATAATAATTTTACGTAAAAATAAACAAATCGGATATGTGTAATGAATTACGATGTTTATTTTCAGAGATATTATAGAATAATATAAATATTAGCGAGTTGGGATTTTAGGATTATTATTTTTATGTAATTTTCTTATCTTCAATCATCTCACGTATCATATGTATGTACATAAGACATTTATACGCCGAAATTAATTTAGAAACAAACATTAGTTCAATTTGATCCTGCTCAAACAAGTGAGAGATTAAATAACAATGTGAGTGAAAATATATATATATATTGATGATCAATGATCGAAATATAAAAATAATTTGCTAAGAATAGTCGCGTGTGAAGTAGTAGCAAAGTTATATAATACGGCAGTTTTTGCTTATTAATAGAATATATTATACTCGGAATTGTGCAAATAAAGCTTTAATCAATGGCAAGTTCAAAGTCCATTTAACTTAGACTCGCAAATTCATTCACAGTTCCTAAAAATCATACATCAAAATGACATTATATTAATGCGTTACAGTTAAATGATAAAATATTGACAACAATTAATTTCTTCACAACGATTTAAATAATTTCAACAAATTGTCAAAATCTTTCTTATTTGAAAATAATTTTGTTAACACTCAAGTGATATGATCTTAATTAATACATTATAATAAAAAAATTGGATGTCTTTTGTATCTGATCTAAATGTCAGCTAGCATGATGGCGTCATTTGCTATGAAAGTCAATTAAGAATTAAACGATTAAATGTTTGACGTGTTACAACAAAAACTCATTGCAATTCGAGTTGGTTAGAAGACACCAGGTCAATTGTCCTGGGGCGTGTGATACGTATATATAATCTTTATTGAAATTCAACCTGATTATGTCTCACATTTAACTTAACGCAGCAAAACGAGCGACTGACTTTAGTAAAGCATAGCTATAATTATAAAATGCATCGCGATTTTTTTAATTCCATATAAACGTTTTCCCATTTTATTGTCAGAATTTTTCAGAAACTTACTTTTTCCGTTGATCCGAGTATTTAATTAAAAAAATGTATTTAATGAGAAAATCTATTTAAGCACAGCTATTTGTTCCGGATAAAATATAAAGAAAAAAATGTGTTTAACTAAATTTAAAAAGAAAATTGTAGCTGAGAGAGAAACATGAGAAAAAATAGAATTTTTATTAAAAAAAGAAGAAACATATATACGTACAAATAAAAAATATTTAAATTTCAAACGCGTCGAAAATTAGATGTATTTTAACTTTTATCGCAAGAATACTGTTAACGTATTTAAACAAAAAAAATTAAAAAGTATAATCGAAATTGTCAGATAATTCATCAGTGATGTTTGCGTCGACGCGCGCTTGGAATAGTTTAAAGATGCCGGAAAATCACGTGACTCTGGGAGCCAATCAAAAACTGTTCGAACCTGACTATCTCTCATTATAAGTTTCTAATCAAGACGTTATAGAGTTATCGCCAATAATTATCCACATATACTCCTTCCTATTTATTCTTGCATCATAATGTAATCCCATTAATATAATTTTATTCATTTAAAAAAGAAATGTTAGAAATTTATCATACATCCCGGCACACGTGGCAAGATATCGATCCAGCAAACACGATGAATGAACACATTTGCATTTCTTATCACAGACTAGCATTTACAAATATAAGAAAACAATATATTATCCCTCCAAACGCAAAAGAAACATTTACGCGTTAAAAAACTGCAAATATCATAAAAATCATATCATTTCGATATAGAGCTGTATATCATTACTATTTTTAAATTAAATTTATAACTAGAAACATATCCCGTTAAACTACAAAATAAACTATCGTTGAAATGTCTCCTACTCTCTCTTCCTCGTTTACAACAAGAAATGCCATGATTATTTTTGGCAAGCTCCGCGAGAATTGGCACCTTATGAAAGAACGATTCACCGCATCATTCTCTCAAGCATAAGCGCGGCAGATGTTGTGCGACAAGGTTTCTTCTGCTCCGAGATTCAAGCTCGACCCTCACCTAATCCAAGATTTTGGCTGTCGTGCTTTTAAAGGCCGGGTTCGTCGCACACGTGACCGGATTCTCTTTGCTCCGCTTTTTGCCGTACAGATTCACAACTCACACACGTGTATATGAACGTAACACAATGACGAAGAAGAAAAGCAACTAGCCGCGACAACGTCTGCGCGGGCACTGAGCCTGCGTCACGCTCTCGCTACATGTCCTTCGTCGATCGCTCGACCAGAGTTGAAGGGGATGCCGAATCGCATATGGGGACTTTAAAGTGGGGAGAACGCTCCAGAGAGATTCCCGCTCCAATTTCAGATTCAATTCGTAAAGTCCCAGATTTGCGGATAAAAATCACGATTCGGATAAAGAATGAAAGAAATCGCTTCTGATATGAATAATATTTTTGTCAACAGTATGATGTAAGATCTGCTATTCTGCATTGTGCTACTTTAATAGGATTTTAATATCTTGAAAGGATCATGGCTCATGAATAGACTCTCGCATGATTGCTGGTGTTATTATATTGAAAATAAATGTGCGTGGTAAAAGCGACGGATTTCAATTTACATCATGTATAATTAACTATTTGTGTGTGTATAAGCAATAAATCACCACAGTTCAATTCAATTTTCAAGTAAATACATTTCGTAGAGCTTTCGATCCTGCTCATTACGAAAATTTGGAATAAAATTGATTTCTACTATTTCTTTGAAGCCTTCTTCTAAAGTTGGTGGCACATAATTTTTCCTGTACATAAAACATAGAATTATTTTTGAGATTACTAAATATTGGATATTAAACATTAATTAATTGAATATAAATTCGGACTTTTGTATTGTTTTCTCACTGGAAATTAAGTTATGTATATGTCTGTGTGTATGCATATCTATTCTTGTCTTTTCCTTCTAATTTGACAGTTAAGTTATTAAAATATAAATAAAAAAAGTTAAAATATAAATATATAATTCGACTTTTTTCTAATAAAGAAAAAAATACAAAAGTTTGATTGCAATTATAATTTCGTTTTTATACAAGATTTTAAAAAAGAATATATGTGTATGATGTATGTGAGAGAGAGATGTATGAAAGAGAGAGAATACGTATGTAAATGTATAAATTTTCTGCTTACATGTAAGAATTTATGATGATCTCGTTGACCGGAATGTGGCTTGGATCAGTCAACTCGCGAAACTGTACAAAAGATTAAACATTTCTCGGTTATATATAGAGGTATAATAATATAATAGAATGTAATTTAGAAAGGAAAATTAATAAAAAAATATCAATTTTATACAATTACCTTATTATTATGCTTCGCATGCTCCATACTTGTCGTCATAACAAAACATCTAATGGGAACATTTCGTTTCTTGGATATCTCTGTATATCTTTGTCTTGTGGCAGGATCAGGATTAGTGTTGTCTATAACTACGCTCTTCCCTTGATTCAAATTTTGCTCAACTGCAATGATGCACTTCTGCCAACTGCGTAAAGTATCTCTATTGACATATTCATATTCCTTTAATTTATTCCTCGCAAAATGCGATTTTCCAGAGCCCGGACTGCCGACCATAAGTATAATCTGTTGTGAAGAAAAATAATAAGATATATGTACAAAAATTTTATTACAAATTAATATTTTAATTAAGATGATTAATGTAATTAAATATTTTTATAATAATATAATCTTTTTTATTATTAATGCGCACCTCTTGTTGTTGTAACGTTAACTTCGCATTCGCAGGCTTGCATATATCGTCAGTTTGCGAAAGATTTTTCGGATTGAATTTAGGCAATTCGTAAAGCGGCATTTTGTGCTTCAAAAAGTGTTCTTCCGGCGTCTCGAATTTGATACTCAAATTCAATGCCATTAATCGATCTACACTAGAATGATCTTTCTTCTTTCCCGGAGCCCAATTCTTTGGTCGACCAGCGGCATCGCCGACGTAAAATGAATTAGCTTTATCGATTGTAATATTTCCGTTTTTCTGCAATAATAAACATAAAGTTATAGCTTATAGCATATAAAAAACATTTAAAAACTAGGGAAACATTTTAAAAATTTGGTAATTGGAATTATAATTAGTTCCTTATCGTTTAAGAAAGAAAATATAAATAACAATAGAAATATATAATAAAGAGATCCAGAAGAAATAGATTCTATCTCAACACATAAAAAAAAAGAAAAACTTTTTTAATTTTTAACTGATTATAAACGTTTCCCCGAAAAATGTATTAATTACAAACCTCTTGTTCCAACGATTCCCACATACCAATTGTTGGCTTCCTATAAATACTTTTTCCTACAGCAATAAATACCTAGAAGGAAAAAATATAAGGTAACATAGGAGTTCTTTATTTACCATAATTGAATGGAAGATGTATATATATATCATACCTGAATGGGAGCGCCAATTTTCCGTACAATATTTTCAATCTTGCGTTTAAAATCGCTGATCTTAACTTTACCAGTGCTAAGCCCAGCTTGATTTGTAAAAATTACTATTTTGTATCCATTCGTATGAAGTTGCTTCAATTGACCAGGTACATCAGGATACAGCAATTGCCAATCATTACAGTCCTTTGGAAATACTAAGCCAGATTTGGTCTTTATTAAAGTACCATCCATATCATATGCAGCTATCTGAAATTAAAATTTAATTTTACTGTTTATAGAAAATATTTTCAAAATCTTAGATATGTGTATATTACAATTATAAATATATAAAATTACATTAATACTTTGTATTGGTAACATAATGGCAGTTAAATGGTAATTAAAACTAATTATTGATATAAATTAAAATTACTTTTGATCGATGTTGAACCAACGGAGATGTATAAATTAATAATTTTCCATTGCCAATACTGTCCCACTTTCCAGATACACTTGAATCATTATTGCTATTTTCAGAGAGTGCACTAGATCCAGTAGTGGATGCTTTTTCACTGAAATGACTTCCATTTGAGATTGATCTTTCTTCTTCTTCTTTGCACTTCTTGATTCTTCATCGGAATAATTATTCAGCTTCAACATTTTTGCTCTGCTTTCAGTCTCATCTGTTTCTAGCTCATAAGATCTCTTTTTCCATGAAAAACTTGTTACACTTGGCGGTGGATTGAATTCAATCTCATAGGCATACTTGCCATACAGCAGCTCCAAACGATCTTTGTGTCTTGCTACAAATCTTACATCCTTCTGAGTTTTAAAACCATTAAAACCGCAGGCCTGCTCACCGATTTGTTGGACTGTGACAATAGCCTCCGCATAGTTTGCGCATAAACGAACTATAAAGATAAATTAGTATTCTTATCGACTTGCAAATTAAACCATGTATCTTGTCAGTAAATATAAGATAAGACATATTATATAATAGTTACATTGTATTAAATAATTTGCAAATTGCTTTTTTATTTATTCTTTCTATTTTAATAATCCTTATTATTTAATTTTACATCTTTAATAATCTTTCCTTATTAAAAGCAATTATTTAGTCTTATAAAGAATTACATTTTTTTGTAAATTTAATTAAATAGAGAATATTTTCAATAAAATGATATAATTATGAATTTAGAAAAAATTCTATTATTCTACTTTTATATAATTATTATTACTTTGATCATTGCATTTTGTTTGACTAAAAATATTTATGCCAATATATAATTTTTTACTCTTCAAATATATTCAAATTTTATTATAGCATGAAATTTACTACAAAATTATGCATTCAAATTTTTAATTTATAATCTATAGATAACATATTTTATATGATTAAAATTATATGTATTTGGTAAACCGGATTACTTCGACCAGTGAAAAAATAATGAAGTATAATTTAATCTATATACATATATATTAATGAATTTATCACTCAAATCAAGATTCAATCTACGAGCGAATCATTTAACATTGTTATTTACATTTTATCAATATACTTTTTTTATAAAATAAGAAAAAGAGCTTCTGTCACAAGTCACGTGTAGCAAACTCCGATTTTCCGATTACGAATGACGTGATGCGGGAAGAGCGAAATTTTGACAGATACGGGACCTTGTCGCCGCGAACATTTCGTGTCAGTAATCCCGGTTTCCGGCGAGCGTCCTACGAAAATCGGTGTGTTGTCCGGCAGATAAACATTCGATGGAGATTTTTCCAATTTACGTATATAACAACTCTTGACAGTCGCGCTCATCGCGACAACAATGACAACACAATGGCCGATTGACAGAAGGAGAGACGTCAGAGCCCTCGTAGCGGCCGTTTCTTGCATTACTGTGTTAAAATATGGAATCTGTTATTTCAGTTGTCGGTAAAATAAATTAGGGGTTTGAATCTTTGCTAACAGCTGATTCGTGTATCGTTGTTGCCAGAATACTTTGTGTAGCTGCATTTCTTGGAATCAAAATAAAATATGGTGCGAAATTGAAAAAACATATTACAAAAAAGAAAAAAATATATGTAGGAAAGAGATGAAAAATGGAAATGTATTTATGAGAGAGGAAGTACTTATGTTTGAGTAATTAAAGGTAGCAATAAAACAAACAATATAATTTATAGGACAAATAAAAATAAAATTCTTTGTATCTGTGTTGATTTATTCTGATATTTCTCGGATTAAGTAAGTTTTCGAAGTAAATCAATAATTAAAGAGAGAACACATATGCAATATAAATGTAATTTCTTCGTTACATTCTTCAATTACTACAAGATCAACTATAAATTTTGTTATGAAAGATTTTGTGTACAGTGGCAAGAATTTATCTGCTTTAATTTTGGTTTCACATTTGATGCAAGTAATATGTCATATTATAAAAAGAAATGTGTAGTGCTAGGCTGTGAATCAAAGGATTTAAGACTACGCTCTTTTCCACTTGCGAAAGACAAAGAGAGATTTCTGAAATGGTTGAGAGCCTGTGGGAATATTGAGTTGCTGCAATTATCTGAAAGTCAATTGAGGCATAGAGTTGTTTGCGATAGACATTTTGAAGAGAAAGTAAAACTAGCAACCACACTATCCAGAGTAGCAGTTCCTACCTTACATTTACCCAGTATGTATACTAAAACTAATTTTTACATATAGCTGTTTATCTCAAAAATCACCAGTGATTTATTTTGTTAAGAGCCCATTGATACTTCAAACTACAAATTTACTGAAGCGCAAACAATTGTCGCACAAAAGTAAGTAGCAAACATATGAGATATTTTATCATATACTTGTATTATGATAAAATTGTATAGTCGTATATAAATGTTTGTTCTATATTTAAATAAGTGTTCTTGTTCACTCTTAATAATAATAAATATCCTGTTCAATGTAAAATGATTATTTTTTATATATATTTATAATGGCTATTATTTTATAATAAATTAAAAAGGTTTTGATATATAAATACAAAAAATCAGATATGAAAAGGAAAACTAATAAGAGCACACATTATTATGTATGGCTATTATTTGTATAATTTATCAATTTTTTTGTTTGTTGTTGTCTGTTCTGATGTTTCATGATTCTTTCAAATCCAATCATTAAGAAACATATACATATATGTATGTATGTGATTAACGTAAAAGAATAAAAATTCGTAATTTAAAACATCTTAACTCTTATGGTAACCTTAACATTTATAATTGCTTTATATTTAGGAGTTTATTCATAAATTTTTAAAAATTTCTAATTAATCTCCAGGACCCCTGAAAAAAATTCTACCGATGGTGAAATAGCCAAGATACTAACAGAATTATCGGAATCTGATGTTGGAGGCAGCGAGGATGAAATTTCTGAAGAAGAGGATATTCTTGACGCAGAACACAGTAACGTTGAGCAGGATGCCGAATTTCTCTCGGATAGTTCCGATCCGGGTGACAGAGCAGCGTTCAACCATTCAATGAAGGCACCCGTATATGTTGGTAGAAATAAAGTCACCAACTGGAATAAGACACCGTGTACGAATGAATCTGCCACTATTCCTTTCGAAAAGGAGAGTATTACGAAATCGGACAAAAAATATGAAATCGCAGATGAGTTATCCGCTTTCCGGGAGATCTTCGATGACAAAATGCTGGAAGAAATTGTCGCTTGCACCAATTTCTCGATCAAGCACAAGCATCATGTATGTCCCAGCCAGAGAAACGCGAAGGAGACGACGAGGTCTGAAATGCTGGCGGTGATCGGTCTATTATATCTCGCTGGGATGAAAAGAGCCAGACACGCAAGTCTATTAGAGTTGTGGACAGATGATGGTACCGGACTGGAGATATGTCGTTCCACAATGAGCTACAGGCAAGAATTATTTTTATTTATAATAAAGTTAATTCGTATATTTAATTTATCTTATAAAAGTCAATTGTTTTGTTTATACAGGAGATTTTTGTTTCTTTTGGACTGTATACTACTCGACGACAGGAATACTAGAGCCACGCGACTGAAGGTGGACAAGTTGGCGCCTGTAAGAAATATCTGGAACATGTTTATGGAGAACTGTAAGGACTCTTATTTGCCCAGTGAGTCCCTCGTCGTTGGAGACAGACTGAAAAATTTCAGAGGCAAGTGCAGCTTCGTCCAACATGACTCCAACACACCGACAAAATGCGGATTGAAGATTATCAGTTTAGTGGACGTTAAGACATCATTCACATGCAACATGGAACTTTACTGCGACCAGCAGCCGGAAGGACCTTACAGAGTCAGCAATGATCCCGCGGCGATTGTACTGCGACTGATAGAACATCTCAAAGGCTCCAACAACTACAATCTAACTTGCGATGAACATTATACCTCCTATCTGCTCGCTATCGCGCTTCTAGCCGATAAGATCACGTTTCTCGGTGCGATGGGAAGAGATCACAGAGAAATTCCTTTATGTTTCCTGCCAGGAAAGTTGCGACCAGTTGGCAGTACCCGTTTAGGCTTCAGAAACGATGCCACCTTAGCCTCTCACGTACCCCAGAAAGGCAAAGCTATCATTGTGCTCTCGACAGCGCATCACGATGCGAAATTCAATCCATGGACCAAGAAACCGATGATCATAGAACAGTACGAAGCAGCAAAAAATGCGATAGACGTCATGGAACGAACATGCGCGTTATATTCCGTTTCTAAAAAGACCAAGAGATGGCCATTGACAATATTTTTCTTATTGTTAGACGTGGCTGGCGTGAATGCTCAGATTCTTTACAACGCTTCTCAAACAAAGCTTCTGCAGAAGTATAGAAGAGGCTTCTTGAAGACGCTCGCGCTCGCGTTATTGAAACCACATTTACAGGCAAGTATCTAAAGTGTTTAAAATTATCGTGCCTGCTTTATAATTTTAATTAATTACTTTATAAAGAAATTAAATTTTTATTTGATTGTAAAATAAGTTTAAAATTTTTTTAAAATTTAATGTGTAATAAAAGTGAAGAATTAAGTTGTTTCCTATTGCAGGAAAGGGCGAAGATAAAGACGTTGCCTTTGAATATTCAGACCATCTTACATCATTGTGACGAGCATTGCCAGCTGATTGACTGTGAACAAGAATTCCCGAAGAAACGATCTCGCGAGATAGATAAAGAGGAAAATTCGGCCAAAAAGAAGGATCGATGTTTTATATGCAGACAACGTAAAGCCATGATTACGACGCTAAAATGCAATATCTGCTCGAGATTCACATGTAAGAGACACATAGCATGTATAAGATACATCTGCAAGAATTGTGATTCCAGCGAAGCAGATAATCGATAATTCATGAATGTTCAATAAGAATATGTATGCTAAGAATTTTACTAGCAACAAAAATTTAATTTGATACAAATAGATAAAAAAAATAAGAAAAAAATTAATGTTTATAGAAACATTCGGTATAAGTTTAATAAAGAGAGAATAAATTACAAAAAAAGTTATATAATTTTTATCGCAGTCAAACTAAATCATCATTATTTCTTATGCTTTAGTAATTATAACTGATGATTAAAAGGATTTAAATATCTGGAAATGAGAGGATTTCGTTTATAAGAAATTGTAAAATATAATTAATTCTAAAAACAGTTCTTTATTAAATTGTTTATATCGCAACAATCATTATATTTTAATATATATAATTTCATCTGAAATAATATATATACAAAATGTTGTAGAAATAACAGGCTTTTTCAAAGTAAAAAAATGTTTAATTTGATAGTAGAATCAACATTTTTTCAATTTAAACGTTCGAAGAATTGTTCGTGCGTTTATACACTCAATTCTTCTTAATGCAAAAGGGATTTAAAAGCGTATTAATTCTATAGCACTGTATAAACTTTCAGATTTCGATATTAATATCTTTCCTGACTTACCGCGATAGGAGACACCTCATTTTTCAGCCCTCGACGCCAGTCATGTGGCAGTCATCGATGGTCTCATAGTAGATGATAGTCTCATATTCGGCGATTAGTAGTAGAAGTTCTTGTGATCAACCTAGAGAAAACAATAACAGCAAATCAGAGAGTCAGGAGGATTAATTTGTAAAAATTATATATAATTTGCATTTGTCTCATCGAGATTTACACTAATCTTATCTATCAGCTTTACGAAATATCGTTTGCAGTATTACTTGCTTATTCAACTCTCGTGTCTATTCTATATTATCGAGTAACTCAATTTATTAATCATTATTATACTGTTTTCTCATTCAGTCTTTCTACACCTTCCTATTATTCACTTAATTGCTACTGTCGATTTTTACCGTTCTTGGTTCTTTTTCTCGGAATAATCTAACGCCTATCGTACATAAAAATTATTTTATTTACGAGAAACTTATGACAACAATAACATTGTTGTACTACAAATCGTGACAAGTGTGAATCTACGAATTTTCTCCATTTTTATCCTATACACTTTTATATTCAATTGTTGTAAATATCTTATGCCATGTATAATATTTATATACAAGAGACATAAAGATAAAGAAACGCACAACCGTGTCTATTTATAGTTGAATAGAGTCTATTTTGCGATTCGATTACCTAAATACACTATGTCTTTCAATGATTCATAATTTATAAGCAACTTATATTTACTATTTTTAGTAAATCCACTTTACACTCGATAAATGCAGTAGACGAAGAAGTATCTTAATCGAATCTGTATGAATTCTCTTATAACTCATATATATTATAGACACATCTTCTCTTTCTCTCTCTCTTTCTAAAAATTGATAACTTTTTTCACAAAGAACGATAGATATTTATTTGTATTTACTCACCTGAGTTTTCGGGTTGTGGTCTACTCGAGCATTTGATTTTCATTTAATATTCATAATGCTTTGCATTATTTGTGTGTAGCTATTCTTATTAAACTATTACTTTTCTTGCTCGTTCTCTTTCTCTTTTCCATTTTTAGCATAAATTTCATGTTAATATTTATCATTGATCGACAATATCATCTTTATCTTTACTTGGCTCAAAAGATACGAGATTTAAAAAAATTGTGTGTATATATGCAAAAGACTATTTTATAATATAAATGACTATTTCGAGTAAAATTTTCATATATTATATTATGGATATATATATATATAGTATAAGAAACTAAGCCTTGTAAAATTATTTATGAATTCAAAAACGCTTCTGCATTTTTCACTCAAGTTTATATTTGTTAATTTTATATATTTACGATCAACGAAAATAGGTGTTTTGCTGACACTTCACCAATCTGTTTCTTTGTTTTCATTTTTGAACGGGGGAACGTGAACTTTAGCGAATTTGACATGTTCTTCGCTGGAGAAAAGATATTTTCTGTCTCTCGCCCTCTGACTTTCATTCATTGTTTCCTAAGTATCTCAGCTTGTCGTTACGCCTGTGAAATAAACTTAATTTTCGTCAAATTTTATCACTGTTGATACTTCAAGTACTCTGTCTTTCTTAAATTTCATATTACGCTTTAATTATACGTTTGTTCGTATCTTTTAGTTGATAATATTTGAATAGTATTATACTAAATTATGAGCAAATTTTTTTAATGTTAGGAAAAATATTCTATAGATATTTCTGTCAAATTCCAACACACTTTATGTTTAAATATAACTTAAGAATAAAATATTCCTGGAATAATAACGTTATCGTATGAAATTAATATGTGAGATTTCTTAATATTCTATAGAAAATTGAATCTTGGAATTTAATCTTATACTTTCTTATTGTTAGATATCTGTATAGGTATAATATATTCTCATTTACTTTTCACCTATTTTTATAATTAAATAATTACAAAATTAATTCTTTCCTAGTCTTCATCTTTCGTCTATGTATTTTTTGATCAATTTGAAGTCGGAATTTTTTTTCATCGAAAACAATAACTTTAATTAATTGTCAAAATCTTGTTATTTATATCTAAAACCAAAAACTGTTCGTTTCCCATCGCTTATAATATAATTGTAAAATTTTTGTTAAGAAAAGATCGACTCCAATTGATCGAAGAATTCGAAGACGGATGATGATCTCGATGAATTCGCAAAATTATATATCTAATCTACTAGATTTCATAAAAGGGCTCATACCTACTTTCTTTATCATTATACTATCGAGGCAAATATTAGCCTCATTTATCGCTTATTCGCCCATTCATTTTTTCTGATAAGCCTTCCTAGGGCAGTTGCTGGTTTTCGTGTTTCGTCCATTTTTTTCTGTTTCTCGTTGTCGAAGGTGAGGTGACAATAACAACAAATTTTTCGATATATGTATATCGATGTCTACGATTCTTTTTTTCAATGTATCTTTCATTTCAAAATCGAGCGATCGCTTACAATAGGTCAGATCAGGACATGACAACATGATACGCTATATAGAGTAGGTATTTGTGAAAGATTTATCGTATACAATAAACGCTACAAATTATATTCACAAGCGAGTTTCATTAATTCATATAAAATAATGCACGATAGAGAAAATTGGAAAAAAAGTATTGAACTGACTTATCAAATCATCCTATTCGTTTCCCTCTTTTCGGCTGGCACAATTTTCTATCGTGGAAAAAAATCTCTATACCATTCGCATTTTAATGCAATCTTTGCAAATTGTTAACAAAGTAATATTAAATGTTTCCTTCAATATCATGAGAATTTTTTAATTGACGATTGTCTCTCAGCTAGTGCAACATGATTAATTGTTATTAATAATTGTCGACGCTCGTAATACCACAAATCTAGTTTGTGAAATTATACAATAAATGAATAAATTATAAAATTATACAATATAATATTGTTATACAAGAATATATTATAATAATATTATATAATATATATATATATATACATATATCATATCACACATATATAATATTATTATAATTATATTATTATACAATACAATATAATATTATTTGTATAATTTTAATAAACAAAAATTACAATAAATAATAAAATAGAAAATTTTATAGCAAAAACGAAAAAATTCATATAAATTATAAAATATATAATTTTGATAACTTTAGTCGTGGAATTTAAATTTTTGTTATAATTAATTGGAATTAAAATAAATACGTTTTGTATTCTGACTAAAGTGTCAAATAATAAAAAAACTGTTTTTATATCGATTATTTTACTAATATTTTGCCTTTTCTAGTCTTCGAGGGTAAAGTGCGATTCTAGATCACATATCTGCCACGATTTTGCCTTTCCAAAGGATTTATTTACGGTTACTATTTACAAAATAAGACGCCGGTCTTACATTCACATTATCGCTTTCCTCATTGCTGTATGTTTAATTAGTCATTATTGTTATATTAAATTATGTTATAAATCGTGGAGAAAACGATCGAGAATATAAGCGCTCGACCAGAGCTAAACTTAATCTTAGATTGTCGTATAAGCGACGTGGAGTGAAATAATGCAGTGTATATCGCTAATTGTCAAGTATAAAATGTGTATACTTCCTATATCGTCGAGTCATATATCAATCAAATTCATTCCAGAGGCGCGAGATAAAGACAGCAAATGGGAATGAAAAATTTGGAGCACAAAGTAAGGTGCAAAAATATCTTGGAAAAGTTATGAATTAAAAAACATGTAAAATTCTTTAAAAGAAAACAATCTGACAAAATAATTTTTTTGTGCAAACGCAGTGATGATTGAGCTCACTTTGGGAAAAAAATATTTTTGTATTCATATAGAAAATTCGATTTTACAACTTTTCCAAGATATATATAATCAGCTTTTCTGTAAAAACATCCGCATCACTTTACTTTCAGGTTGTTTGAAAAGAGAGGAAATAATTGTTTTTTTTTCTTTTTTAAACTGTCACTTTTTCATGCGCCGGAAAAAGTTCGATCTTTTATGTCCTTTCTTTCTTTCTTTCCCTTTTGTCTACTATGTGGGAGAAAATGTTATCTACTTAGATACAGAATTAATGAGCTGGGATTGATTAATAAGTGTCGGATAACTTTAATAACGTCGCTGAGACTGGGTGTTTTGGTAACCAGCACTGCCACCTGCAAACAACCATAGCTCCTCCGTTCCATTACTTGAGAAATAGAATTTGTGCTTCTGCACTTCTACATATATAAAATTGAACGCCCTACATGTATAATATAAATATAAATATATAAATGTAAAATGTATTTATACATGCATATATAAATTTATATATATGTTCTCTTAATATATAATATATATAATATATATATGTATAATACATATAATATATATAATAAATAAATAATATATAAATTTATATACAGAAATATAAATATACATATAAATATGTATATATTTATACGTATAATATATATACAAATCCTTTTACAATACGCTACCTATTCATCTTTGCCTGCCTACTACGTTTACTTCGACCTTCTTTTATAATATTTTTGCACATGTACATCTAGAATAATACGCCATGATTAATTTGTGATGATAATTTTGCCTGATTTGTCCGATATTTAATATCAGAAAAAATGAATAAATAATATGTATATATAAATATATTCTTATATGTTTTCTTTGTGGATAGTCTTGTAATTTCTAATATATGCACATTATAAATATGCAAGAATATTGTATCGAATATCTTTCCGCATTGTAGAGATACATATACTTGTAATATCTTGTGAAAATTTTTCTGATATTGTATTTTTTATAATATTGTACAAATGCTCTTGTAGTATTGCAAACACATTTATAAAATTGTAAATACTTTTTTTTAGTACTGCGAGTATTCTTGTAATATATTGCAAACGTTTCGGTCTACTGCAACTACTTATCATGTCATAAATATATCATGTACTGTCGCATACACTAATGCAACATATAATATCGTTATATTATCATATTCCCTATATATACTTATATATACTATATATACTATATATACTGCACACAGTACTAATTATAATTCTTATTTGATTATTCAACAATATAAAGTAAATCTTTTTGATCTTAAAATCCTGGATATGCAATATTTAAATCTATAAGAATCTCTTGTTAACATTTCGACAGATCTTTCGATTATTATGTGCGTCTTCAAATTCTTAGATATTCGTAAAATTCGCATAAAAGGTAATTTTATTCTGTTCTTGTCAAAGTATATGAAAGTATAAATCTTATATATAAATTAAAACTGATGCAGGACATTATTGATCTTTTTTTGTACTTTCTTAACACTTTTTTTTATATTTTATATCATATTGTGTTACTTATTTGATAATTCGTCTCTGTCTACAAATATTTTTTTCCTTATTCCAATTGATACTTATTGTTAGCTAATAAATCCTTTTCTTTTGCTCAATGAAATTTTCTGTACTGCGAGTTGTACTTACCATAATCCTGTTTCCCATAAACACCATCCTGACTTGGATAATCTGTAATCAGAAAAAATGCGATCTTAGACAACGAAAAATATTGAAAACATCGAAGCAAATGACTCAGACGAGAAATATCTGAAAGAATTTAAAGGAGTAGCACGAAAATACGAAAAAAATAACTTCGTTCTTGAATAGTCATGACAAAATACAAGATTTCGACACAGAGAAGTAACAATTAATTAATTCAAAATAATTAATATCGCTTGAGAAGTTAACAATTTAAAAAAGTACTTTCGATAAGGTGACAGACTAAATAAGTCTATATAAAGAACATAATAAAAATAATGAAGTACGGAATCGTAAAAAATAAAGTAAAATAAAATGATAAAAGACAGTAAAAATAATTCAAAAGTATATTAATAACGATAGAAGTGATAACTTTTGATATAGATTTTATGATTTTTCTTAGATAGAAAAAAAAGAAAAAAAGTTTCCTTGTAATATTCTGCAGTGAGAGACGGCAGGAGGCAGTGCGCTGCAGTGCTGGTGTCCCGATGAAAAGATCCGATTTATCTTGCCACATTGGGAATGGAAGTTTGTGAGCCCTACGTAATTTCATTTGTCGTCCGAAAATACTCGACGAAAGAAAATTGTAAAGATCCAAAAAGATTCGAAAATACTAAAAAATTTAAGAATTATAACAGCAAAATCTGATAAGATTTTAAGTTCAGAAGTTCATGGTATCTAAATTTTTAAAACATCTATACAGATTTATAATCAAACGAATCATCATCCGCGAATAAAAATGTGCTCTCCTCTCTGTTGTCTCAATTCTCTGAATCAGATCGTTTCTCGTCTGAATTATGCTTAACACTTTTATTATAGGAACGTGTCAACTTGGATATCGTCCGGAAAATAAGAGCAGCACAAGAAAAGCGATCCTCGAGAATTTATCCATCAAGCAAGACATTAAATTATCTGTTGCAAAAGGGATTAATATTAGTATTCAAAATTTTTTTAATGCATTTATTAATGTCCAAATTATAAATAAATTATAAATAAATAAATAAATTGCTTCAATATTTATTATTAATTTTGCCAATAAATATTTAATTAAAAATAATTGTTAATCTTACGTTTTTAAAAATAAAATTGCTGAAATTACAACTTATGATGGGAAATATATAGATGAATTTGCAATATTTTTTGCTCCAACCAGATAATTCAATGATCCATTTCAATGATAAACGAATCCTTAAAGATCGCTTCAAATGCCGTAGCGAAAGAATTAATAAATTATACAGTGAGCGATATGATGACAGCGGACGAAATAACTAACCGTAAGGTTGCGTCGAATAACCACCCCGGTTGATTATGTTGGCATTAGATCGGTCGTCATAGGGGTTAGAAGGGGCATAACCCCCGCCCCCCGGCCCCGCTGCTGGCACTGCCTCCTGCTGGTAATTGGCTGGACATGCATTACGTAATATTAATAAAATAGTTGTACATAATAAGATAGTCCGATAGCTGACCAACTTAAATTCATTAAATTTGACATATTTGTAACATAATATTAATACTACTTATTACATTTTCATATATATATTTAGACTCCTGGTTTGCTTGTTAGGACGTCCTCCTGATGTCACAATTCAATATTTAAATGATACATTTAGATATTTGATGTTGCATACTTTGAATATTCATATGAGATTGTCAAGATAAGTATAATGCTACAAATATGTAAAACTTAATCAATTTATAAGTTTTTACAATCTAAATTAAAGCAAACAAATATACAAGAATAGTAAAAAATAAAATTGTGCATGAAAGAATGTGTAGTTTCTGTAATTTTTATAGGCTTACCTGAACTAGGCGGAGCTTTGCCATAACTATAGGGATCGTTAGTGTTGAAGCCTCCTGCAACTGGAACTGAAGACGATCCGCCGTATCTATTGTCTGGCGGTGCGGATGGATAGCCCTGAAATCGAGAGGAAAAAATAATAGCAAATTTTGATTGAATACTATTAATAATTTCAAATTAATAATGATGAAAAAAAGGCTATCAATTTTGATAAAATTAAAAATTATTTAAGAATTAATATTTAATTTTACTAAAAAAATATAGCAAATCTTAAATAAAGCTTTCACAAGTATTATCAATGTGTTGTATTGTCTCAAGTTTACTCACACTTGTTTGAGCGTAATCTTGTTGCTGGTAACTTTCGTATCCCTGATAAGATTGCGTATATCCTTGTTGCGATCCATAACCACCGCCACCTCCACCGCCGCCGCCATATCCTACCGATTGCTGCTGCTGTGATTGTTGCTGACCACCATAAGCATTACTTGAACCTCCGTAACCACCTTGACTGAATTATTGACCAGAAAAATTTTTTGTTAATACTTTGTAGTAATTTCTATATGCATAAAACAAATGTATTTGGAACAAACTAGTATATATATAAGAAAAATTTTACTTTTTATACATATATAATAGTTCTCTTTATTTTCTTCTACCTGGATGGTTGAGTAGCATAGCCATTAGAAGATTGTGAAGATGGTTGATCAAAACGTGGCCTTTTAAGAGGTCCACTGGAATTGGGCGGACCTCCTCCTCGTTTCGTTGGACCACCGCGTCCACCACCAATTCCTCTACCACGATCAGAAAAGCCACCACGACTTGGTCCACCTCTACTCGAACCTCCTCTAAAATAATATATTTCCAAAAACATTAATAATATAGTAATATATTGATAGAATCTTTATTTTATTATATTTTTTAAAAAAAATTTTAATTTGTACATTTCAAATTATTTAAATCTATTTAAAACTAAATACTATAAATATAATAATATTTATAACTATCCTCTAAAAAAATAGTATTCTTTTCCATGTAAAGTTAAAATGCACAATTGAATATCTTTTATCTTTAGAGATTATTGCAATTTAATTATAGAAATTTTAATGACAAATAAAATTTATCGAAACTTAAATTAATTTAAAGCATTCTTCATATACCTGGCTCCTCCTCTCATTCTATCCATGCCGCCACGTCCACGGAAATTATTGCTACCGCGATTATCTCCTCTACCAAAGTCTCCTCTGCCTCTGCTACGGAAGTTATTATTTCCACCACCTCTTCCGCCACCACCTCGTGGAGGACCACCCATTCCTAGGGGTGGTGGTCCACCTCCACTGGACATTCCTGGTTCAGGTGGTCTATAAAAATGATAATAAAACTTGTTTTAGTTTATAATAGTCATTATTTTAAAAAATGATTTATTTTATTATTCATGAAATATTTTTTGTTTTAATCAATCAATTTTTAAGATTGCCTAATATGCCAAGAAAAAGCGTTAACAAAATACACAATAATATATTATTATTATATGATGCATGACAAGAAATTAATTTATAAAAATAAAATTGATTTTTTTTATTCACCTGGAATATTTTTCCTATATTTAAATTAATGTAAATTTTATAAATTGTTAAAATTAAGTTTATTTAAAAAGCATATTAATAAGACTAAAATATTTACCCTGGAGGAAAGTGTCCACCACGTCCACCTCTAGGGGGACCACCTCTGCCTCTCATCGGTGGACCTCTCATGCCTCCACCAGGTCCACTGCCTCGACCACCGCGCATCATATTACCACCTCGTGGTGGGCCAACCCTGTTGACAAAAATACACAATAAATTATACTTTTTCTTACAATTTGCAAAAAAGATATAATTTTTAAGTATTTTGTCAAATAAATATGTGTAGCAACATTAAATAAAATTTTATTTTCCCTAGCATTCTACTAATCGTAAATTCCTCACCTTCCTCTGTCTCCAAAACCACCACGTCCTCTCATTAATCCTCCAGGTCCTCCACGACCTCGAAATCCACCTCTACCACCTGGTGCTCCGTCCATTGTTCAAACTTTCTGTAATTTTTCACGCAAATTGTTCAAATATAAATCCAACAATGTAAAAGCTTACTAATGTAAATTTTTACAAATCAGACTTAACAGTTTAATGAATTTGGAATTCATAAGTCGAAAAATTACGAACTTTAAGATTCTTAAGGTCTTTAGATTCTTAGATTCGTAGATAATTGCATTTCTGTTCGACTGACAAAGATCTGTGAAATTTTTCTCTTATTCTTTTACAACCAGAGCTATGCAATATTAGTTCTTAATGCTTTTCTATAGAGATGCAGATTTTAATACAATCAAAATCACGCAGATATCAGCAATAAATCACACTCTACCTAAATATGTATTGAATTAGCAATAAAATTTTGGAAATAGCGGCAACCAGGAATTACCGCAACGACGCTATCCTCGGAATTCTATGAAAAATATCCTCTCGAAGGTATATCTTAGCGGTATTCGAAGAAACGAACCGAGGCAAATCACCGTGCAAGATCGAAACGCAAAAAATTAATTCGGATTGACATTTACTCACGCTGATTTAATGAGTAAACAAGCAGTTCATCGATGAAAAAAACCCTCGGACCAAGGAAGGAACAAGCAAAATGGACGACTGGCGCGGCAGAAAGAGCAGGAAAGAGAAACATCGACCACGACTACGCGAGTCAAATTTGCATGAATCGTGTCGTCAGTACGAGCAACTAGAATGACGTAATACGACAAGATATATTCGAAGAAAAATACAGGTATATTATAATTATATTCAATATAATAATTTTTCGACGATATATTTTACGTCTCGTGTAGGAGTAGCTTTATCGATCGATTATCGATAGTGAATCCTAGGGTTTTTCGCGACAGCCAATCAGCACATCCGGATGACATATGTGACAGTACCATCTATATAAAGAAATATTTCATGGACGACGCGACAGCCAATCGTGTTTCTCAGAAAAATGATAAAGCGCAAGCATCCGCACCGATTGTATTTTCCGATTCACGCACGAAATGCGTTTAGAAAATCTGCAAATTAGACTTTTGACGCGCGCGCGAATAATCCGAAATGTCAACGAAACGTCAACGACCGCTCGGCGGCGCTCGGGTCGCGCGCGAACGCGCGGGACCACGTGACTCGCCGGCGTGCTCGGCGATTGGTCGGCGGTGCGTCATTTAAACCGGCGAGAGCCGTTGCGTGTCTTCCGCGACGAGGACGAAGAACGAGAGACGAGACGAGACTGCGAGAAGAAAACAGCGGTTCGAGAGCACGGGGAACAGAAATTCGGCGACTCGATTCTGCGGTGACCCTAAAAGTGAGCGCGCGCACGACCTCGGATCCTCTCTCGCGAGCGCTCGTGCATGAATAAGGGAAATTGTGTGTGAATAAACGGTAACGCGAGGATACGCGGAAGATCGCTCTTGGCTCTTGTGGTCGCCGTGCTTTCGTCCCCTGTATCCTTCGTCCTCCGTGATCGTTACACCGTCAAACCGGTCCCGCGAAGCCGTCGTGACAAACGGACGCAATTACGTAGTTCTCGAGGAAGGCTCGGGCTGTCAGCGATGTCGACGAATGGAACCAAGGATGAGGAGTGCGCGATACCCAACGTGATATACGATGCCAACACCGGCAAGAATTACATGAGGGGCCGGTTCTTCGGCAAGGTAAGGGAAATGACCTTCGACAGCCTCTTCGCGACCTTCCCATTCCGTTGTCCCTTTCGAGCTTCGGAGTCCTCTTCTCGGGACTCGCACATGCGTCATTCAGCGCGCGACACTTGTTGCGTTTTCGTATGTTGCTCAGGTAATTCGAGGAATTGAATAGACGATGATTTCGCCCTTTTCGAATTTTCGAGAGAATATTTGCGTCGAAAAAATATACTATTTCAAGTGTCACGATAATTTGTCATTGAGGGAGGAGTTTACTTCAAAAGGTCGTTATATTCTTTAAAATCTTGTTTTTTTATCGATATTTGTATCATTTTATGCGAATCTTCGTCACGCTTGTTGCATTTTTTGTGGGGATATACATATATATATTGATATATCGTAACTTGGGAATTTTAAGTGACCCTTTAGTTTATTGTTAATTATATTAATATCTCTATTTTGATTTGTTGGTTCTCTACTTTCTTGTTTATATTTATGTGTAAATATATATATGTACATATATTATTTTTTTAATTTTACAATACATTTTTATATATAATTTAACTTTCTATGTTAAAGTTACTAATTTTTCTCTTATTGTTTAAAGTTGCATATATATAAAATTGATTTTATAATTAAAATATTTCTAAAATGTTATTTTATTTTTTTTACATATTTAGCTTTTTTTTATTACAATTTTTGTTTTGTTACTCTTACATTCATTAGGGTGGCTTTGCAAAATGTTATGAGATAACAGAATCAAAGTCACATCATGTATATGCTGGAAAAATCGTGCCAAAGTCATTGATGATAAAAAGCAACCAGAGAGAGAAGATGACACAAGAGATTGCGATTCATCAAACTTTGAATCATAAAAATATTGTTGGTTTTCATAGTTTCTTTGACGATTCCCATAATATATATATTATCTTGGAGCTCTGTCGCAAGAGGGTAAGCATTCTTTACAAAATCTATTTTTTTATGAGTATAAATTGTAATCAATTAACAAATATTTAATGTTCTAGTCAATGATGGAGTTACATAAACGCAGAAAAGCATTGTCGGAATGTGAAACTCGGTACTTTATGAAGCAAATCTTAGACGGAGTCTTTTACTTACATCAACATAGAATAATTCACAGGGACTTAAAATTAGGAAATTTATTCTTGAACGACGAATTGCAAGTCAAGATTGGTGATTTTGGATTAGCGACTAAATTGGAACATGATGGTGAAAGGAAAAAGTAATTGTTGCTCAAATGCTAATACAACATATTTATATAGGAATTTTCATTCTCTAAATGATTCTCTTAAAATTTAATTTTTTAGAATTAAATCAACATGTGTAAATTAAATTTGAACATTTTTATACAATTTTTAATCTTATCACAAATAAGAATTAATTTTGTTAATTACAATGATTTGATTGAATTTTTCGACAGAACTGTCTGTGGCACTCCGAATTACATAGCACCGGAAGTACTGACAAAGGTCGGGCACTCGTACGAAGCCGATGTATGGAGCATTGGCTGTATAATGTACACTTTGCTTGTGGGCAAGCCACCTTTTGAAACATCGAGTCTCAAGGAGACATATACCAGAATTAAGCAAGTGCAGTATAAAACACCACAGCATATCAGCAAACCTGCTATGAACATGGTAGCAAATATGCTGCAATTGAATCCAGCGAGACGCCCGTCCGTTGCCAAATTGATGAAGGATACCTTCTTTACTTCTGGTACGCCCAATATTTCGTAAAACGTCAAGTTGTGTACTTACTTTTTTCGTAAAACAATTATACAAATCTCTAATAATTTATTTATTAATTTGCTATACTTTTTCAGTTGTCTATAAATTTTTTCTATCTACTAAAATAATTTAGTATACTTTTTTAGTACCTTAACAATCATTAAAACATAAATATTTTACACATTAATTAATCCTCTTTCTCTTAACATTACAATTTTATATTGAAAAAAATATGTTTATTTCTTTTATATTTCTTCTATATCATTTCTTTATTTACCAAAAATAAAAAAATTATGCTCGTTTTCTTTATTCTTATTTTTATCTTTAATAATTATAGGATATATGCCGACAAGTTTGCCGCTTTCTTGCTTGACAATGGCACCGCGTTTAGACATGCTTGAGTCGCATTGTAATCGTAAACCGCTCGGCGAGATGAATCTTAACGGCTACTCCGAACAGGATATCCTCGCCTCTCGGGTGCCAAACAGCCCGTTACGAAAAGCCAAGCTTAGTGCCGAGGTAGTTGAACAACCGCAGAGAATCAATCATGATATTAAAAAAATGCTCTACACATTAAAGGAGCAGCTGACTGCGGTGCTAAAATATAAGCCTGCTAAAGATGTAACTTGCTCAGGAGGTATGTTTAATGGAAAAATACTTCCTGCAACCTTTAATATTTTTTACTAGAGTAGACGAAATAAAATATTATTTTTAATATTTTTAGATATATTTCTTAATATAATTTTAAATTTTACATAATTGATTAATATAAATACAACTATGCTTATTATTATTATTATTATTTATTATTATTATTATTATTATTATTATATTTAGTATTATTATACAATGTTATAAAGATATATTTTTTTTTTTTAAAACTCGCAGATGAAATGACTGATCCGGCGGCGCAACCTGTAATTTGGATTAGCAAATGGGTGGATTATTCGGATAAATACGGTTTTGGATACCAATTGTCCGACGATGGCGTCGGTGTGATGTATAATGATGGCACACGATTGATTATGCTTGCTAATGGTTTCAATATTCACTATATCAATCGTGAGGGCGACGAATTGTACTACACGGTCAAAGAGTATCCGTTGAATCTCGAAAAGAAGATGAAACTGATGAACTTCTTTTTGAAATACATGAATGAGCACTTGATGAAGGCAGGCGGCTCTGTCGCAGTGAAACAAAGTGACTCTCTGTCCAGAATACCTTACATACACCAGTGGTTCAGGACCCAAACGGCCGTCGTGATGCAATTGACTAATGGCACAGTGCAAGTGAGTATTAAATTAGTCGACCATCTCTATAAACTTAATATAAATTTATTTATAAATTAATAATTTAAAATAAAAAATTTTTACATTTTCGCGAATTTTACATATGTAATAATTAGGTTTTTATCCTTTTTTTTTTTACTTTCTTATATATCTTCTTATATTTCTTATACTTTTTCTAAATTATTTTTATTAATATTTCCTTTTCTATTTAATAATATCCTATATAATTTATCTTTTCTTTGCATTATTATATATATATATATATATATTATACATACATTGGATATTATTAATAATAAAGATATAAGAAATTTTAATAAGAAATATATATATATATATATATGTTTCTCTTTTATTTATTTGAATATACACAAATTATGATAAATGAAAATTATGAATAATGAAAAAGTGTGAATGAAAAAAACACATGTGACTTTACTTAGTCACTAATATTATTATTATATCAAAATTGTAATTATTTTTTATCTCGGGATAATTTGCTTCTTAGGTCAACTTTTTGGATCACGCAAAGATCATTATGTGCCCTTTGATGGCAGCAGTTACCTACATTGACCACGACAAGAATTTCCGAACTTATAGATTCCAGACTATTCAGGAGCATGGTTGCTCTAAAGGATTGGCGAAGAATTTGATGTATGCATATGAGAAGATTGGACTGATGCTGGCAAATTCTCAGGTCCGATAAAAATTGCTCATTGCTGAAAGAAAACAAGAGACGAAATATCGGATATATATTGCGCCTCTCTTGGTATTGTAAATTATCTTTAGAAACGCAATATTTATATTTATTTTCTGATAGTACTATCTTTGTAGTGAAAAAGAAAAACTGGCAAGTCGGGATTACAACTATATAGGATCCTCTCTATCTTCGCTCGATTTTTGTACAGACAAAATTTTGCTAGGCAAGTTTTTTTCCATTTTTTTACTGCTTAGTACAAAAAAAGAGAAAGAGAGAGAGAGAGAGAGAAAGAGAGAAAGAAGAGCCAATCGCGTTCAACGAAGGCGAGATATTTCGCGCGCCAAGATATTTCATTCTATTCTTCAGTATGCCGTTTCTCGTAAACATTACTTTAAACTAATTTGATCAGTTGTTATTAATCCTTCTCTCTGTTCATGTTTTTAAATATAATACTGAAATCATAACTGCTTTGAATATTAAAGTAACTTTAACATTCAAAATCCTGAAGAGAGAAATTTCCTTATTCTTACATTCCTATTATTCTCCTAATCTCTTACTCCTTTTAAATTATTGATTCCTGTTAGTTGCTCAGGATTCTACGAGAGACTTCTTGTCTTCGTTGATCCACAACGACTGCCCAAAAGATATTCTGCACTTTGCGAGTGAATCACCTTGATCTAGAAATGTCATGTTATGCCCATCGCAAAGAAAAAAAAGTAGAGGCAGGGATTGTCATGATTCGACGGAGTAGTGCAATCTAATGTCTGATTTCGTTCTCATAGATGAGACGAAAATTCGCAGAAGCTAGTCTTCTTTTGACTAATGATTCACTGGCTCAAAGTTTAACTCATTCAAACTTGTTCAAAACAATGCGACTAAAATATTAATCTCTGATAACTCTTTAAATTCTGATAAAAGCTTTGAGATGAGACTTTTATAATGACTTATATGTTTAAAATCTTATGTGTTTAAAATTTTAGCAAAAACAGATGAGAAAAATGTTTAGTCTCAAATAAATAAATAGAGAAATAATTTAGAAGGAGTAAGAGATACAAGAGAGTAATAGGAATATAAGAGTGAGGAAGTTCCTCTCTAGTATTTTGAATATTAAAGTTAACTTTAATATTCAAAACAGTTATAATTTAAGTATTATATTTAAAAACATGAAATTATTTATCAAAAACAAAATTTTTATTTATTTATATTTCTCTATTTATTTGAGACTAAATATTTTTCTAATTTTTTTTTGTTAAAATTTTAAACACAAGATTTTTTTAGTAAAATGTTTAATTTTTAATTTAAACTATTGTTTTGAAATTAAAGCAAAGACATTGTAAAATATAATTTTCTAAAATAAAGGAGATCTGTTTCATTTTGAATAAGAGACATAATTTTGTAAAATTATAAAAAAATATCCTATTAATATCTCTAAGATACTCTTTGGAAAAATTAAAAAAATTTTGTCAAATTATGAGAAATGGAATGTGTAATTTTTCTTGTGTTACTTTAATTGATTAGGGAAAAATTTAAAAGTAATTGATTATATTGAACTATATTTGATGTGTATACAAAAGACTATATTTTTTTTTAAAAGCGAAGTGACTACAATGTGTGTTAATTAAATCGATGCGAGATGTGTTGTACTGCCAGAAACACTGATTTTTTGTATGATTTTTTTTGTAATATTAGATAGAGCTTACATAGATTTTTATATAATTATATTGTAGTATTGAAAGCTTACAAAAGTTTTCGTTCTTTTTTTCATTGATACATCGTGAGGATAGATAAAATCATATAGAAATGTTAGATTATATCGTAAGGATCGATAGAACGAAAAGACTAGAACAATTAAAGGATTCGAAAAAATTGAGAGGAAATCTATAAAATAAAGGATCCGATGTAACTAAAACAATTTAAATAACTCAATTATTACCAGAACTATTAAGTTTAATATTTTTGATAATAATTGATTTATTTAAACCGTCAAGTATAATCGGAATCGCCAGATTCGTGAAAAAAAAACTTACAAAATTGAAAATCAAAGAGTTCATAGATTTGACGAAAGATCTCTTTAAATTAATTTTTAAACTTTTTTTATATTTCTAGATTAAGATTTTTAGGTCTTATTTGAATATTAGAATGCTGAAATCATTAACTCTTCGAATTGTGAAATTGCAAGATCGTATGAATCTAAGTTTACAGATTTTTCCAATATTTTATAGATTTATTCGATTTTTTCGACTGATATCACTGTTCTAGTCTTTGCTTCTATCGAGCTTTCGAATTTTTACGATGTAATCACGCATTATCAACGAAAGTTTAAATATTTATAGATATAATATTTTTCATAATAATTTGCTATAATATTCTCTTTAGTCATTACGATAATAAGTGAGTTATGTTAAACTTGAATTTATGTTAACGATTGATATCTGAAATTTCAATTCGGTTAAAATATTTCCATTTTTTTTATATCTTGGAAATTGTTTAAAATCCACGGGCTTTAGGAAGTCTGAATACAAAAAATGGAGTTGTTAATTAAGTTAAAATTTCAAATATCAATTGTTGACGCGAATTAAAGTATAATATAACATACATTTTACTTATTATCATTATAATGATATAGAAGAGAATTATTAAAAACGAAATTGAAAATAGCAACTTTTCAAAAGTGACGGAAACTTTTGTATGAATTCATATATAAAGAGTTGGTTTAATTCAAAATATGAAGAGATTATTTAACGAAAAAAGAAAATTAACTATTTTTTTTCCTTTTTTGTTCAGACTTTTCATATGAATTAAACCGACTCTTATATATGAATTAATTATTAGAAATTGGAGGGAACGATATATTAATGAATGACGTAATATTATGTTAAGTTAGATATATGTGTTTAAAGCAAGAAAAAGAAAAATAATTGTTATATGTGAAAAAAATTAACATAGAAAATTAAAATGTACATAAAACAATAAATATAAAAATAAGAAAAAAAAGATGTATATAGAAAGTTGTTAGCAACGGATAAAATTATAAATAAATAAATGCGATATATGCGAGGTGGCGGATACGTTTTACGACTAAGAAGAGTTAATAAGTGAACGAATAATCTTAATAGAGAGACCCACTATCGGATTCCGTTGAGTTTGTTGAAAAAAAAAAGAAACAATTTATTATTTCTATACTGTATACATTTTTAAAATAACGTACATATTGACACTCAGTTGAGTGTAGATAAGAACCTAAGCTTTAGATGAAAATTAGGATAATATTTTTACAAAGTGCATGTACAACATCATTTTGAAAAAGTAAACAGTATAGAAATAAATTGTTTCTTTTTTTGTACGTATTTAAACATTGCTATTTTGCAAAATACACTTCGACACGTACAGAAGCTGATTGTGAGGATTACTACTAAAATTATTCATTCACTAATTGATACTATTGACATTTTTGTTCATTAAAAATTGAATCTGAAACTCTGCTTTCCATGAAGTACTTTGATGTAAGAGTATATATTCTAAAAGTTTTTGTGCATATAATTATTCGATACATTGATATAAAATATTTTTAAGTATTATGATTTATTTACATATTATTGAGTATTATAATTAGCAAATTTAAAGTATTTTTTGCGTTACTTATATGGCTTGAATAAAGTTTCAATATCAACAATTTATTTATATAATTTGTGTATAATGCTCAAAATTTTTTAATAAATTTGTAACAATCTCAAAAACTAAAAATTACACAGATTTGAGGATAGAATTAAAGAATTTATTATTATATAATTTAATATCTAAAAAAAATTACTAAAAATTGTTTTTAAATATCATAGACACATTGAAATTTTAGATTGTCATGAAGTATTTATTTGAATAATTATGTAATGTAAACTTCATTATAATTACATAATATTCAAATTTATCCCTCGTCGCGATTTACCGATCGTCGATGCGCAAGATCTGTCGGAGTTTCCACGAAATTCCGCTGGTGGCGCTCGCGGGAGCTTCTAAAGATGGAGAAAACTAGCGTGCAATTATCGTCTCGTGCGGTCTCCGCGGGATCGGCGGCGGATCAACGTCACGTGGGATTAGCCAATGACACATGCAGTCGGATAGGAGTCTTTCGCTCGGGTGGACACCGATTTCCTCGTCGTCGTCGTCCTCATCGGCATCGTCATCGTCGCCGGGACTGTCGCACTTTGCGTGTCTTCGGGAACGTTATGGGATCTTGAGAAAATATACGTCCCTCATCGTCCGGAACGAGCGACTTTAATTTGAGGTAAGACTTGGAGTTCTCGAGCGACAAAATTATATCCTAAAAGTCACGAATTAAAACGATTACATAAAAGCACACGCTTTCAGGAGAATTCGCGCGTCTTTAGAATAATCGAAACTTGATAGCAAGGTTTGAAGAAGAGCATGACTGATATTTCAAGTTTTTTTTAAAGAGATTTGACGTTTGGATCTTTGGCTTTTTCGATGCACGTGTGTAATTAAAAATATTTGTGTTTCTTTAGTGTTTAATTTTAAATAATTTCTTGCGATGTGCCTGTACTTTCGTAAATATATATAGATATATATATATATATATGTAATAGTGAGATACGTGTATATATATATATGTGAGTCTTTAGCTATTATTGATTTAATTGAAGTTTTTCAGAAGTTTAATAAAATATATGAGAACTTGAAAAATATTTTCAGTGAAAAACAGCTTGATTTTCACAAATTACTTTGTATTCAACTTCCTAGATAGTAGTAATTATACACTGAAAAAAATAATTTATTGAATTCGAATAAGTATATTTATTTCAATAAATTATTTATTTGAAGCTGATAATATTGATTTGATATACAAAATATTTATTTGACATAAGAAAATATTTTTCAAAACAAAAATAAAATATTTATTTATTTCAAATAAATGATTCATTTGGGAGTATTCAAATAAATATTTATTAATTTAGTCATTTTTTCCAGTGTATATATGACATCATTTTGCAGTCAAAATGACATCACATAATTTGACGCTAAAATAATTACTATTGTGTCTTTGAAATTTATACAAAGTGACATCTATTTATTTATCTGGAGAGAATTTATAATTACAGAATTAAAATTATCTCATCGCAAAGCGATGAGATGTTAAATTGAGAGAAAAACATTTACGCGGGAACATATATTAAAAAAAAAAAGAAAGGATGCGTCCTTGGAAATCAAGGACATCACCCTCATCTTGACCGAATTTTTCGCGTTGTTATGTAAGTCCCATCTCATTGTTTGTGTTATTAGCGATAATTTATATTCACGATTCAACCCTCGTCTTGTCGGCGCCTATGAGTCAGATTCTTATACTTTGACAAGTCATTTCGACATTAGCGATATACCAGCAAATTACAGTAATATCTACATTAGCAAATGGATGTTTACACTGGTTTCTTTGTGCGGAATAAAGTATACTCACGTATCTACAATGTATGTTCAGAAAGCATACATATACATGCGAAATAAAGACATATCCATATATGAAATTTTGAATTTATCTTGTTAGTTTTTCTATAAAAGCAGTTAAATTTACTCCAAATGTAGACACCGAGATTTCAATGATGCGTTTGATTGAACGAGTTTGGTTGACATAACATTATAGTATTGCGAGAATTCAGGCAGCTTTTAGATAACATAAGACGCAGTCTCCAGGGTACAATAAATCTTTGAGAAATCCTAACAACACATACATGCACATATATACATTGAAAAAAATTGGTTAACTTGATTAAACCTTTTAGTTAAATTATTATTTTATTGATTGATAACATATAAAAATATTTTAATTAAATATTAAATTTAACAAAACGTACATATTTAACTTAAATACTAATATTTGTTCAATTAACAAAATAATAATTTAATTGAAAGGTTCAAAGTATTTTCAATACATACATAATGTCACATATTAAATATGTCTCATTAAATTTAAAATAAGAAAGATTTTCTTGCTATTCTTATTTCTAGTTTTCGAAAAATTTATTTATGATATCTTTTATTTATACTTTGTATATATATAAACTTCTTTGATTCATTAAAATATTTTGTATTTAATAAATAGATGAAAAGATATAGATTTTATAATCATAATTTATAAATAATCAAAAATAAGAGAAGCCTTTTGAGAATCTTGATAAATCTGCTGATTGCGAAGATTCAAATAGATAAGAAGACTTTAATTTAAACAATGTTGATATGACAAAACAAAAATTTTATGCGTAAACAATAGATAAACTCAAACACAATAAATGTCACGCACGTACACATTGTTTCGATTACTTTACATAAGAATGTATATATAGAATAGACAGAATGCGCGCGATCAATATTGAGCTAAATGATTTGAAGACATGGAAAATAGAGACAGTGAATATTCCTTAATGAATCGCGAAAAAAATTACTCTCAACTATTCTCATGAATCAATTTATATATATATAAATGATATAAAACTATGAAGTCATCAGATGATAATTAAAAAATGATAATAATTCAATCGACCAACTCTGACAAATAAGTAATTTTGAATTTTCACAACGTTTCATAGTTATTTCGTTTCATTTATATGATGTCATATTCTAAGATCGAATTTTTGTTTTTTAAAAAAGTTTTGATTTACTTTTATTTAAGAACATAACACTTGATAAGGGCCGAAAACCACGGCCGAAACGTTGTGAAAATTCAATAAAATTACTTATTTGCCAAAGTTGGTCGATTGAATTATTACCATTTTTATATATATTTCGTGTGCATAATTATATATATATTGTGTGTTTAATTATATAATTAATTATATATATAATTATATACACGAAAAAAAATTTGCATATACTGTGTGTTCGTTTGATATACTAAAATTTAGCTAAAATAGGTTAATAAATTTTTTTGATCAGAATACACAAAAATTTAATCTTTTCTTAATTAAAAAAAAAATCTCTTCTTAAAATAAAATTAATAGAAGCTTTAAATTTAACCAGCTGTATTGATTTTGATCTTCTTTCTCTCTCCATCTCTTCTGCAAATCTTTCTAAATACATATTGACAGATCTATTCTTGGATTAGTTTATAAAATTGATTGAGTCTTTCATTAAACGAAAAAGTGACAGAAGGCGTGCCGAATAAATCAATAACGCTATCTTTATCAACGCGATGGATGAAGAAGCGTTACGCGTAACACGTTCAAATATCTTTACAATTAATATTGGTCATTACGTCAACAATAGATTGACTATTACGTAACGAGAGCAATTTGATCGAGTGTTGAGAAAATACTTGCGTGAATAAACTAACGATCTCCCTTTTATTATTTTATTAACGCAGTCTATTTATTAATTTAAAAAATGATATAATATAAAAATAAATATAATAAATATAATATAAAAATAAATATGATCATTCAAATTTATTTTCTTATCGCTGCGCGACTATCTGGCTAACTCTGGTTAATTATCGCAGTTTATATTTATTGCCACTGCAGTTAATTGCTCCAATAATATTCTGATAACGTTGTCTCTTCCAAAGTATGCGATGAACACAAGAAATTGATAAACAAACAGGATTAGCATTTTGGAAAAAAATTTTAAATGCGAGACCATGTAGAAAGAAACTTTGATTAAAAAAGAGAGACTTTATTTGTTATTTATTTGTTACCATATATATTGTAAGTCGATCTAATTCTAATCTCTATTATCGTAAATCTATTTTGTAAGTTCGTAAACAATGTCTTATTATATATAGATAAAGATATTTTTTACGTGACATCACGAGAAACGTGAAAAACATATTCTTTTTCTCGTGTAATAATTTTATAATTTATGAAAATGACATATTCTCTTGTTGACGATATTTATGTTATTTTTTTTATTAAAAATCAATTCAAAATAATAATTATTTACGAATTTTATCGTGCTTCGTTAATTAACGTTTAAGAATTCTATCTTTACATGTGTGTACACGTGTGCGAAAAATTATAATATTTTTGCATTGTCTTTAAATTCCAAGTTATCGTCTCGTCTGTGTTATCGCAATTTCATTATCAAAGTGTCAGATATATTATCCAAGTTTATTTTCTTTTCAAAGGTAAACTTAATGAATGTAAGACCGAAGTTATATTATCTTCTAAATGCGATTATTTACATTTTGTATCGCAAATCAGAAAGTCGATCTTGATTTGAGAATCTGAAAGAAGCGGAGATTTTAAGAAATTTCGTAAAAAGAAAAAAATTGTTCAGAATATTTTATTATACAGATCATATACGAGCAAGAAATAATTTAAAAAGATGTGAGAATGAAAAAGAGCCTTGCTTAAATGAGAATTGAAAAATCATCGTTAGGATTTTCTCACACTTTGTACCTACTAAAACATACTTTAATATAATCTTATCAGTGATAAAGTTTATTGTCGCCAGAGCTGTGTAACATCATTCACTAATTACTTAATATTTGGTAACAAAGTGTAACAGACTTGTTGTCCGTTCAGGGTAAATGAAATTTGTGCTGCGATCTGTTAAATTTCCCTGCGGATTGTGTGGATTAAATTTTCCAGTACAGCATCCCAAATAATACAATTTATCTGCTCGGATAGAGACGCAAATAAATATTTCGATGGATTTTTTCTTCAAACATCTGGCGTTGACACGAAAATTTGTTAAAATACTCATAAATCGCGCGTTTAGAGAGCAAAAATTTAAAAATGTTAAAACCGATTTTTCTACTTGTTTGCTCAAATCTTCAATTTCGATGACGCTTGATTTGTCGCGAAAATTTCACGAAGTAAGGAATTCTTTCGGAACATTAGCTTGCGAAATCGTGATTATTAATTTACCGAGCTTTGATTAAATTAATTTAGTAAAATTATTATATAGAAATTAAAATATATGGTATATTGTTAAAGTATATTTTTTGTATTTATTGTTCCAGAAATATTTTTATTACTCTATATCATTGAATAAACATCGATTTTTTGTGCACATAATTTTATATATCTCAGCAACCGTCTTTTCTACATTGTCTTGTTTTATATATTTGAAGATATATTTGTAAAGAATTGCCGGGTCTATTTGTAAAGAAAACAAAATAAATGAGTTTAGCGCCACTTTACATTAGGAGCACTATAATTTCAATTAGAATAAGTCTAGAAGCTGTAAAAAACGTGGTATCTTATCTATATATTATTGAAAATAAAGTAACTCACAGGTTAATAATATACATTACGCAAAGTAATTAACGCGCTCGGTTGCACATGGTAATCATATGCAATAATATGAAATTTTTATCAATATGTAAATATTGATAAAAATTTCATATTATTGCATATGATTACCATGCAGTCAGTCGAGATTACGGTGCAATTAAATTACAATCAATTAAATTAGAAATTTTATTACTTGCAGTTATATGTGCACTTCTCGAAAATCAATAAAATATTAATGTGAATAAAAAATACGAAAGAAACGAAATAAAAAATATATATAAAAAAAAATTATCGGAGACGGAGAATCTGGGGCAACTCGTTATCAGAGCTGTTTAGCTTTCATAATGGGATGTAACAATGCGCAACAATGCAATTTACGTGCTAAATATATACGAAAATTATTTCGAGACCGATTTAATCAATATTGGATAGATGGAAACACGCATCACGTAACTGATAACAGTTTACCTGATTCGTTGTACATAACAGTGATAAGATACCGAGCGATCTTTTTATCAAATTTTGACCCCCGTTTAGCGAAAGAAAAAAAGAACCGGCTCAAAAATACACGAACCGTCGAATTCTCTTCTCTTTTTGTCGGATCTCACCTAATCGTGATTTAATTGCGTGGATATTTGTCTATGTGTGTATATATGTGTACATGAAAGTCTTATATTTTGCAGAAGGACCTCGAGAGTGAAACGGTGTTTCATCATCATCCATCTTCATCATCATCATGGACGGAAAAGTGCAAACCGAGAAAGTGAAGAATCCCAGAGCAGGCGCCAATATCTTCAGTGCCTTAACGTTCTCGTAAGTAAGACAAGTATCACTTAATAAAATCCTTGATAAAGATAAGAGAGAGAGAGAGGAGATGATGATTCTGCAAGAAATCGATGATGTAACATTTTGATGGCTTCACATGGACGTGAGTCTTCTTTATAGAGCGATGAATTAAAAGAGAATCACTGAAGACGATGATTTTAATTATCTTAGAGAGTTTATAAACAACTTTGTGGGAAATTAGATTACGATAAATTTAATTAATATAGCATGCTTATATTTAATTAAAATTTTTGATAATATAATCTTACATATTTTAATTAATATAAATATGTAAGTGTAATCAAGCGTTTGATTATTTCTCGTGCACTTTTATAGAATGACTAGTTATTTTCTAGATCCATGTTTTTGATAGATAAATAAAAAATGAATTTGATGTACTTTGTTTTCTATCTCTTTACGCGTGATTATCTATTATAATAATTAATATATATCATATCGAGCTCCCTTGAATGTGATAAATGAGTCATGAGATGCGAATTATCTTCGGATTGAGAGCCACCGATAAGATGCGAATAATGAAACACCTTGCACTACTTTGTTTGGGAAATAATTTTTTCTTGGATTTTCCATTCTTAATGTTTACCATATATTCCGTTATACCTTTTCTATCTCCTGGCCTTGACGATTTTATTTCATTTGGAATAACGCGGAAATCAAGCGCACTTAGAATGCATATGTGAATCAGTTCTCGCATTTTTATTAAAGCGAATTTAATCGTTATTTAAATTCGATTTTTTATGTTCGACCATATTTTTATTTTGTTTTTTTAAAGGAAAGTTGCACAAACTCCAATTGTTAGTTTCGGGTTGGGTAACGATTGCATGAAATGTCGACATTATCTGAAATTAAAATTAATGACATAGACTTATCTTATTCTAACATAGGAAAATAATAATATTTTGAACGAAAGACATGGAATAGGTATAATATTTTATAGGAGAAAATGTAATTTTTTTTTTTCACACGAATTGGATAAATTGCGGACGGTTTGTGCGAGTAAAACGTGTATGCTTTATTTTTTTTTCTTCACAGTTGGATCCTACGTACATTCTGGGTGGGTTACCGCAGGGATCTTGAAGTAACTGATTTGTTCTCACCGCTTAAAGAGCATACAAGTGGTATTCTTGGTGTTAAAATAGCGAAAGCCTGGGAGCAAGAATGCGAAGCGTACAATCGTCGGCTGGAAAAAAGTGCGAGGACCGGCTCCCAAAAGAAAGTCAGCAAACCCAGCCTGTTGAAAGTCATCATCAAGTGCTTCGGCATCAAGATCATGCTGTACGGGGTGCTTCTGGCCGTCCTGGAGATCTTGCTCAAGTACGAGTATTAGACATAAAGAATTTGGCTTTCGGTAAAATTGGCTTTTTCATGTAAAATTGAATCTTGGTAAGACCAGCTGATTTTCACATATATTGTAGCTTATGTCCTGCTGAACGAAAGATGTAGTAGCCTTAAAGCTAAATATTGAATACTTACTGAGCTACAGCTAGTATTTTGACTGGATAGATCAGTAACTATCCAATATTTGGGGCTATTAGATATTTTGTTAAGCAAGTCATAGCTACTATATATATAAGAAAACAGCTAATTTCACCGAAAGCCAAAATTCTATGTATTTGGTGCGGGATCTTCTAAAACAAGATTTCTCGCGTCTAATCAACTTTCTTGAATATTGACAGGCTGTTGCAACCTATCTTCCTGGGCCAGTTGATACGATACTACAGCACCCCGGATGTCGACGAGTTGCATGCTTATTTGTACGCGGTTGGGATCATCCTGTGCTCTGCCATCAGTGTGTTCATGATCCATCCATACATGATGGGAATCCTGCACATGGGCATGAAGATGCGCATCGCTTGCTGCTCGCTTATCTATCGCAAGACGTTGAAGCTAACTAGGACTGCGCTGGGCGAGACGACGATTGGTCAGGCAGTCAATCTATTATCCAATGACGTCAACAGGTTCGACATAAGCATCATATTTCTTCATTATTTGTGGATCGGACCCTTACAGACCATCGTCATCACGTTCTTCATGTACTTCTACCTCGATATCGGAATATCCTCCATCATCGGAGTCGCCTCTTTGCTGATGTTTATTCCTTTGCAAGGTGAGACATACTTTTCCACCTATTTCGAGATATTATCAATAGTTGTCGCGAAATCCTTTATCATTTTTATTTTGTTATCTGACCCTTTTTTTATTTTGAAATTCCTCAGGATGGCTGGGCAAAAAATCATCAGAGTTGAGATTAAGAACCGCAATCAGGACTGACGAGAGGGTACGATTGACAAATGAAATTATCAGCGGAATTCAAGCCATTAAAATGTATACCTGGGAAAAACCATTCAGCGCGCTCATAGCAAAAGCGAGAAAGTGAGTATTATCTCTTATATTGTTTACATAAGTAACGCTCAATTATGTTAAAATTATGCGATAAATAAAAAAATCCTCATAATTTCATACTTTTATAATCGGAAGCGAAAAGTATTTAAGAATTTAAGTGGCTCACTATCACACCTAAATAATCTGTTCTAGATTAAATCATCGTAAGCTTGCTTCTATTTCGAAATCACTGTGTTGATACAATCGAATGAAATGATAATAATCGCCAGCAAGTGGCGGCCTTTTATTACTCTATTTTATCGCATTTGTTATCGAGTCTTCTAATAAAAAAAACTTGCGAAGATATAGTTTGCTCTTCAAACATCTACTTTGTTTTGTGAATATTTTAAGAATATTGGGTGTTTATAAATATATTAATTTAGAATGTTATAAATAATTCTAAACATTCGCTCTTTTCGAATTTAAATTATTGAAATAAAGTTAAATCTCTAGCCTATTTAGCAAACCAAAACATTGCCCCTGCGTTGAATTATCTAAAGTTTAAGCAGTCAGAAACCATTAATTCTCAATATCGAATAATTCCGAATCGAAATGAGGGTACCGCACTTTGTTATCGAAAATAAATCATCAATGTTGCGACTATTTTCATGCATGCGACGTTTTATCATTCAAAAAAACAAATTAATTAATTCACGCGCGTATTTATAATCTACACGCGGTATTATTTTACTCCGATATTTTTATTTTATCGTACGTTTCATTGGATCAGGTGGCTATATTTTTCACGGATCGCGAAAAATAAACAGAATTTTGAAGAGAAAAAACAAAATAGAATCAAAATACAGAAGCAAAATTTGTTCACAGGAAAGAGGTCAACGTCATCCGGGGGACGTCGTATATCAGAGGTGTTAGCTTGTCGTTCATCATCTTTACCACGAGGATGTCGTTGTTTATCACAGTGCTGGCTTACGTGTTGTTCGGCTTCAAGATAACGGCCGAAAAAGTGTTTATGATAACCGCTTATTATAACATTCTGCGTACGACTATGACAGTTTTCTTCGCACAAGGTTTGTACACGAGTACTTTTTTCATTTCTTTGTCTTGTTATATTTCTTTCTTGTTTTTATTCTCTTGCTCTTCTTTCTATATTTTTTTTCTTTATCTTTTCTCCTTTTCCAGGAATATCGCAAGTGGCGGAGGTAATGATATCTATAAAACGCTTGCAAAAGTTCTTGCTGTATGATGAGATGGACTCTCCCGAAACCAAGACGATGAAGGAGAACACAAAAGAGAAGCATAAGGAGAATACGAATGAGAGTTACAAGAACACAAATGAGAAATATAAGCAAAATGTAAATGAAAACTACAACGAAAATGCGAAGGAAGATTTGGTCAACCAGGAAAAGAGCGATCGAGTGATCGCGGATCAACCGGATCACATCGAGCATCAGATTTGCATTGAGAATGCTAGCGCCAAGTGGCTGGAATACGAGCAGGAGGATACCTTGCAAAATATCAACATCAAGGTACGCCCGGGTGAACTGATCGCCATTGTCGGACAGGTTGGTGCAGGCAAGAGCAGTCTGATGAATGTCATCCTGAAGGAGCTGCGTTTGCAGCAAGGTTCCATTCAGGTATGTGAACAATCTCTTTTTAACGATAACGTTAAAAAATAAATATCACAAATTTTGCTCGAAGAAAAATAAAATAATTATTTGTAAAAATATAATAAAAATAATTTTATTGGCGCTTTTTAAACACTTTTCACAGGTTAATGGCAAGATTGCCTATGCCAGTCAAGAACCGTGGCTGTTTGCCGGATCTGTAAGACAAAACATTTTGTTTGGACAAAAGATAGATCATATCCGATACGATCGTGTGACCAGGGTGTGTCAGCTAAAGAAGGACTTCAATATGTTAACTTATGGCGATAGGACCATAGTGGGCGAGAGGGGTATTAGTCTTTCTGGAGGTCAGCGTGCAAGGTTTGTTTTTTTAGATATAATTATGATCAAACAAAATTTCCTTAAAAACATAATTAAATATGTATACATGTATGTGCATATATCTATAAGCTAATGATTGTTTCTCAGAATCAATTTGGCGAGAGCCGTTTACGCCGAAGCCGACATATATCTCTTGGATGATCCTTTGAGCGCCGTGGACGCTCACGTGGGCAAACACATGTTTGAAGAGTGCATCGATAAATATCTCCGCGGAAAGACCCGGATTCTAGTGACTCATCAATTGCAATACTTACATAACGTCAACAGAATTATAGTTCTGAAGGACGGAGCTATCCAAGCAGAAGGGTACGAACTTCCTTTCCCTAATTATTTTATAATTATTATAATTATATCTTTTCAATTCTTCATTGTTTTTTTCTCAATTCTACTGTTTGTATTATTTTATAAATTCTTGAAGTATTTTTATTTCTAGTATTTTCTTATCTTTTCACATTATTTCATTGCATATATTTACTTAATAGTTTGCAAATTCTTAATTACTTTGATTGATAAACCTTTTCATATGAGAATGTAATTTAAAAATATGTACATCATTTTATCATCTTATATAAGAGATAATTTCTGTTCACCAGCACTTTTGACGAGTTGGGCTCCATGGGAGTGGATTTCGGTCGGCTATTGGATAATAAAACGCAAGAGGATGAGAAAACTTCTCGACCCCCTTCGGCTTCTGTTAGCCGAAGCAATTCGCGTACTGGTAGCGTTACATCCTTGAACTCTTATATATCAGTTGAGACTTCGCAACGAGAACCTGAGGAGGTAATTCTGATTACTGCATAATTTGGAATTTTAATATAAATTAATATAATGTTAATCTCTTATCAATCTTTTTAGGTGGCTGAGATGCGATCTACGGGCAGTGTTGCTGGAAAAGTGTACGGGAATTACTTTCGTGCCGGTGGCAATTGGTGCGTAATATTCATCATCACTACGCTTTGCATATTATCCCAGTTAGCGGCCAGCGGTGGTGATTTCTTCATCGCGCGATGGGTCGATATCGAAGAAAACTACGTAAGTATAATTGTATAAATCAGGAAAATCTTGCTCTTTGATTCGAGAAACCGCATAATACAAACTTCAACTTACTCTCAATGTACTTTCGCAGATGAATCAAACGGAGACTGGTGTCGTGGAAGACCCGAGAAGTCCCCTCACGCGCTTAGAATGCATTTACATCTTCACCGCATTGACCGCGCTAACGATCGGCGTGACTCTGATTCGCTCGTTCGCCTTCTTCGCGACATGCATGCGCGCCTCCATGCGTCTACACGATAACATGTTTCGTAGCATCAGCCACGCCACAATGCGCTTCTTCAATACCAACACGTCTGGACGTGTGCTCAATCGCTTCTCCAAAGACATAGGTTCGGTGGACGAAGTGTTGCCTACCGCACTCATCGACTGTCTGCAGATCGGTCTGTCGCTGGTCGGCATCATCATTGTAGTCGCCATCGCGAATGTGTGGCTGCTGATCCCCACTGTGTTCGTCGGCATCATCTTCTACTACTTGAGAATCTTCTACCTGGCTACTAGTCGTAGCATCAAGCGCCTCGAAGGCGTCAGTAAGTATAATCCAGATATATATAACTTGGTCAATGAAATAGATTCGATTGTATTAAAAATAAATTGATTGGATTTAATTAGGTTGAATGTAAATTCTTTAAATAATCTAAAAATGAAAAATTCTTTCTCTCCTTAGCTCGCTCACCGGTCTTTGCTCACTTGAGCGCGACTCTTCAAGGACTACCAACGATTCGCGCGTTCGAAGCGGGCCAAATCCTCACGGAGGAGTTTGATCGTCACCAAGATCTCCATTCGTCCGCGTGGTACATCTTCATTGCGTCCTCACGTGCCTTCGGTTTCTGGTTGGATATTTTCTGTGTGATATATATTGTGTTGGTGACACTAAGTTTTCTCGTGTTGAACAACTATTCCCGAGGCTCGGTGGATGGCGGATACGTAGGCTTGGCAATCACTCAGAGTATTGGTCTCACCGGCATGTTTCAGTGGGGCATGCGTCAGAGCGCTGAGTTGGAAAACCAAATGACCTCGGTAGAACGTATCCTCGAGTACAGGTATAAGTCTATATTTTTTTTAAATTTCTTGATAGCTATTGAAATTTCGAATTTTGCACATTTTTTAGAACCTTTTAAATCTTTTTATCTTCTATTTTTTGCCAAGATCTTTTTTTCAATATTTGTGCTTTTGTATCTTTCTACATTATTTAGATGTCATCTCAAACTCTTAAGATTTAAATATATGTTCAATCTTAACTCTCTTGCAGCAATGTGGACAGCGAGCCTGCTCTTGAGAGCGCCCCTGATAAAAAACCCAAATCCGACTGGCCACAGAAAGGCAAGATCGAATTCAAGACTGTGTTTTTGCGTTACTCGCCAATGGAATCGTCGGTACTGAAGAATCTCAACTTCGTCATCCATCCGCGCGAGAAGATTGGCATCGTTGGCAGAACCGGTGCCGGCAAATCGTCTCTGATTCAAGCTCTTTTCCGTCTGGTCGAAGTAGAAGGTACCATCGAAATCGACGGCGTTGACACGAGCGAGATCGGTCTGCACGATCTGCGCTCCAAGATCAGCATTATTCCGCAAGAACCGTTCCTGTTCTCTGGTACTTTAAGACGAAATCTCGACCCGTTCGATTCCTACACCGACGACGTCCTGTGGCGGGCGCTCGAGGAAGTCGAGTTGAAGGAGATGGGCCTGCAGGCGAACGTCAATGAGGGCGGCTCCAATCTCAGCGTGGGTCAACGACAGTTGGTTTGTCTGGCCCGCGCCATCATCAGGAACAACCCGATACTCGTCCTGGACGAGGCGACCGCCAACGTGGACCCGCGAACAGACGAGCTTATCCAGACGACGATCAGGAACAAGTTCGAGAAGTGCACGGTGCTAACGATCGCCCATCGACTGAACACCGTCATGGACAGCGATCGTATCCTGGTCATGGACGCTGGATATGCGAAGGTGAGTTTTTTGCTTCCTCGTAGAGGAAGTGTTATTTTTGTGGAAACATTTTTTATTCAGATTTGAATGTATATGTGTGTACATATGTGGCCACTCTTTTCCGAAAATTTATATATAATGTTTCAAGAACTTAACTTTAAGTTGCAACACTCCAATTTGGCATACAAATAAAGCAGTACAATATTTTTATTTACTGACATTTTTATAAACATTTATACAGTATTTTAAATTTTAATGCAATTTTAATTTGTCAAAAATGTCTGGTTGCTAGCTTTCGTAAATTTCAAGCTAAATTTTTTTACATGAAGAGTATAATTAAAGAATAATTAATATTGAATTTAATGAGGATTGGTGAAGGGGTTAATTTTTTTATAAAATTTGGAATTTTTCAAAAAAGACGTACGAAATGAACATATGAATAAAATGGGTACATACCTACACACACATACATATACGTGACATTTAAAAAAAATTTATTTTATGTAAAAAATGTACAAATTGGAAACTTACACATTGCTTCTTCACCATTCCATTTCGCTCATTAAGCTTCTCTATGAGGAAACCACAATTGAAAAACTAGCTTGCTCTTAGAGAAAGTTCTTAGAGAAAGTTTAATGAGTGAAATAAAATGATCAGGAAGCAATGTGCAAGTTTCTAATTTGCACACTTTTTTTATTTAGACGCAATAAATCGTTGAATCAAACTTTTATCATTTAAATATTTCATGATCATATATAAATTGATTAATTTATTCTTTTTGCTCGGATGAAATAAATTATCGCATGGAATTACAAATCACTTCCATATAGACATGTAGTTAAACTGACGTAATTATATATTTAAATATTTTTACAATTTTCGTATGAAAAAAGCTCGATTGTTGAATTTTTATTCTATATTCATATGAAATGTTTTAGCTATGCATTTATAGTATTTCATTAATTTTCAACTTCTTTTATTTATCTTTTCCAATTATTTTCCACATAAAAGTGCACGGTACTCGCCGCCTTTTCTCGTTTTATGATATAGACAGCCGTCAACAAGAATGATTTCATTTCCATCACACCCGGTGTACATCTCATAAATATTTTATCGAGTCCGTGGTATGTCTCGAACTATCTCGCCATGAAAGATACGGCTCTCGTAACAAGAGTGGATCGTAAATCTCGTGTAGTTCTTTCCTTCAATAGCTCAACTTTTTATCGTATGTAGGAATTCGATCATCCCCACGTGCTGCTGCAAAAGGAATCGAGTTATCTGAAGAAAATGGTACAGGAAACCGGCAAAGCGATGGCGGAGGCCCTGGCCGGCATCGCCCGCGACAGCTACCTGAATCGTCCACCCACGCTCTGAAACATCCTCGACAGGATCCTCGCTAATTTTTCGACAGATGACGATGCCGTGATAGGTTTCTGTGAGGAAGATACCGTCTGTTCTCCTGAGAATTTTCGTTGAACGACTCTAGATACTTGACCAATTACCTTCGCGAAAAAAGACAAAATCGGTCCAAGAATTTCGAATCCTTGAAATTTAGAGATATAGAAATCCTGGCGCATCGAAAGTTAACAAAAGTGCCGCGAAAGCCAGGAAGGTAAATAAGAGGTTCTCGAGAAAGATAAATATACTAAATGATTTAGATATCTGTATGAAAAACTTTTCTATATATCAGAATTTAGGCACAGAGTTAGGCGTCAATGAAATGTAGTATTTAAGAAAAAGAAAAATCAATAGGAAATGTAAAGAGAAAGGCGAAAGATGATATAATATAAAGTTCTAGATTTATTCGAGAAGAGGGAACATTAGAAAAATGTTTAAGGAGATATTAGATATATAAAGATCCTTGCGGGAATTCGAAAGAGGATACAGAAGCGGCGAAACTTTCGATAAGAGATTAATAAACCGACAGTCGTTTTTTATATGCAAGGTATATGGTCTCGTTTGAGTTGATCTTTTTTCGACAATTCTCTGCCTTTTTCCAATGCAATGCCAGTGCAGCGAGCAATCAAAAAAACGCTCCCAGTTACAGTATTATTACGTCATTTTTGTATCAGTCTGTTGACCCAGATTTCCCATCGGGAAGGAATAAAACTTTTAACACATTGGGTCATCGATCTCTTATCGATCGCCAGTGAATAAGCCTATTTATTCATATTTTTTAAAATAACTAAAGATTTTATTTGAGAAAAATATATGAAGAAAATATTAGGCTACTATTAAAAGAAAGATAAGAATTTTTTAGATATGTAGGGAAAGAGCTAGGAATATAAAATCCGAGATTCGAAAAATTTGTAGATTTTGTACTATCTCGGATTAATCAATAGATTTGAGGATCGCAAATTTCGAAATATTATATTTAGAATTTGTGAACGATTTAAAAAATCGCTCCTCAGGAACTTGAACGATTACAGGGTCGGTCGGTGAACCAACAAATCGACAGAACTGTACTTAACATTAGGAGAAACAAAAGATTCTAATTTTTATACTCGCTATATAGTTCGATATACACAGGTTCCGGTAAGAAGGCTTGGAAAAAGATTTTTTCTAAATCCATGTATATCTATAATCATGCAAGGATTGTGCTTGTTCCTCCTATATTATACTAGTGATACAAAAAGAAAAAAAGGCCAACAAAAGGAGTCTGCTCTAATGTTTAAAAGCGAAATACTTAAACATGAGCAGTTAGTAAAAGCTACATCGATACATCATTTTTTAGTAGTTATTTTATATATTAAATCGTATTATTGTTATTACACAATAACGAAGCGCATTGTACTCGAGCTTTATGTATATAATGCAAAGTTACAAAGCAACGAAAATCAAAGTACTTAATGCCTTTTTCGATGATCATGTTTTAGACTGGTCAATTTTTCGCCATGATTAAAAATCGAGATAAGTAAAACATATGGCAAGTATCCTCGAGCAAAATAATGTTTAAACTCTTTTTAAATCCTCCTTCTGTTATCAATATTTTAAATGCCAACTTCAAATAGTCATTTTAAGCAGAGTCTAATTTTTTAAATACAGTATATAGTTACTATGTTTTAATATATTGAATTATGTATGTATAATATTTATTATATATATGTATATAAATATATCCAAATAAATATGAAAATATTTTAATCAATTTCGTTATTTGAAATTATTTTGAAATATTGATAACAGGTCGAAGAATTAAAGAGGGATTACGGATGTAAGTTTTTCACGATAAAATCGAGGATACATTCTGTATACTATATAAAAAGAAACGTCCGTATATTGTAAGCGTTATCAATATATATTATATATGTATAGATAGATGCAAATTGTACTCTTGTTTTTTTTAAGTGAAAATGTGAATTACAATATCTTACATACAAGTGCCTATGTAATCATTGTAAATGAAATATAAATACAGATGATTATTTATGTAATTAACGTCTTATGCATATATTATATATGTGTGTGTGTGTGTGTGTTTTTCTATATTTTTCTCTTTTTTAAATTACAGAATTACACTCTTGTCTCTATGTGTAATAATCGCTATAAAATACTTTACATTCGACATGTTACATCGATTCACACACAATCAGAGAAACAAGAAGATTCCACCAATCATATATTATTGGAAATATTAATTATATATCCTCTTTATACGACAGTGATAATTAAAATCAACATATATGGTAATTAGGGTTTAATCATTGATACAAAAAACAATACTCATGTTATATTCCTTTTGCGCGAATTCTTGATAACATTAGGTTCTATAGATCTTGTAAAGTCTTTATCCGAAAAATAGAGATATAAATTAAATAATGAATTCAGAGAATCACATTTCGAAAATGCAACAAATCGAAGCGTCGATTAAAAAAAAAGGAAAAAAGATTGAAGATGGTAAAAAAGTTGTAATTCCTAATTAGGTTGGTAAATACACACAACTCTGAGGACGTTTGAGATGTTTTATTATTTATCAAAATACATGAATCCATTTATTCAAGAAAGTCGAATCACTAAACGAGATTAAAACGGAAGGATCAATAAATAAAATTGTATGAAACTAATAATTACTTATCAAGAATACAAATTATTTTAATTAATAATAATTAAAATTAATAATAATAATTAAAATTAATCAACGAAAAAACACGCATTACCTAAACGGAAGATAAAATAAGTATAATAAAGTTTAAATTACAATTCTTAAAAATTATATTCTTAAAAAATCACTCTTATGATCTGAATATTCCCTATAGATAGGACCTAAATATACACGGCATATACAAATAATTGTTCTTATGTCACAAAACATATGCTTTGCTATAAACAGTTAGAACATCTTCCACGTGTAAACGGCTTTCTATTACTCGCGCCGTCAAACAATCGATCAGTCATAATCGCAGACGCACGCTAGATAAACATTTATCTAGAATTATACACGTACGATCCCAACTTGTCTCTGTCGTGTCCCTTATCAATTAAGCTATCTATTGTTAAAAAAAAAAAAGGAGAGAGAGAACGTACGTGAATCGCGCTATTTCTAAGAATTCTAGAGAGACTTTATTGTCCAAATACAAAGATTAATTGATTAAATAAGTAAATCATGAGCTAAATCCATCTTATCGATTGCAATGATAAGACCAATAAGAAAAATTAAAAAAAAAAAAAGACAAATAAACGGCTCATTTGTGAAAGGGACATGTTTGCTTTTGCCAGATTGGAACTGTATAAAAAATCTTATCAAAAATTATGAATTAAATTTATATCATATAATCTTATTTTATTGTTCGTTTTGCTTATATAAGATGGCATTTAATTGTGAGAAAATGTTTGCGCAATTTTTTTTAAATGTGCGAATTAGCTAATTATACAAAAAATTGTCTCAAGATATGAATATATAAAAATTTAAATTATAATTGTTCTCCATAGAGTTGAAAAATTTTCTCGTAGTATAAGGCTCTGCCTTTTAAAGGTCTAAATTTTTGAAAATTATTTCTGGAATGATCGATATGTCTCTGACATTTTCCACATAAGACGAGAAGAATACAACCCTATTTTCCGAATAAATAATTCGGAGTCCCTCTACGAAACGCACCGTTCAAATGTGATTCTACATCTATAAAATCTGCTTACTCGGCTCGCGATTATCCTTTGCAAGAGTACTTGCTGGCATCCTCGACGAGACGAGTACACTAGTGTGTCGTAATACTGACAGTAAAGAGAATAATTGCTATCAACGTTAAAAATTAATTAATCCTGCCCAGACTGTCTCCCTCTTTCTGCTCCTCTATCTTTTCTCACTTCCGTCATACCTTTTTTTTTCTCTAAGTTACAATTATGAATCACGGTTACGATTATAATTACAGATAACACTTATCTTCTATTTTATCTTTATTGTTTTTGCGATGTTTTTGTCACTCCTCGTAGTATACAATATATATGTAAACATTCCGAATTTCGTGTGCGATGGGCCCAATTCAATTCCCTGGAATAGGACACGACAATCGCCGGTATTGCTCTGATAAAAATGCGATTGATAATGGAATCGCTTTCCGATTAAAGCAACGATTTTTTACACTCGTAAATAAATTCAATGATACAATATTGGTAGTATAAATTTATTCAATCGCCATTTCTACATCAAACAAATATCCTAAATTTAATAAAAGTCCAAGTGTTGGGTGAACAAAAAAATTGCCAGAAACTCGAAAACAAAAGTATCCCTTTCGAAGAAAATCCAGGAAACCGTTGAGTGTTACTCCTCGTCTTACTTCCGGGAGACTAATTGCGATAATGATTAGCAAGCAACGATTACTGACACCGATTGTGCGCTCAGGGATGTCCAGGGATATCCGGTGTGGAATACACCTTGTACGTCTACATATGTATATATGTGTATACACATATATGTATGTATGTATGTATATATATAAAACAGTATAAAACGCTTATATATTAACGTCCCGAGGCAGTGACGTACATTATATCGAACGATAATGCGAAATTATGTCGTTATCGCTCGCGATAAACCAGCTTTTAGAGAAAATGTCGCGCAAACATGATGCATCGGAGTGCAATTCCGCGCGATTGTATCTAGAAACCCTTTAACCAGCAATCGAATAAAATTTTTCAACTAAATTTGCACGATAAAATATATAAGTAAATATAACAATATACATCTTACATTAATATATAGTTAGATAATTTAAATCCCAGATCCATCTGCCGCGCGCGCATCGCGGGCAAATATTTAAGTACCTAAACAAACAGTTCCTCTTCCTTAAGTCTCTCGAAACGGGAATTTAAAACTACTACTTCACTAGTTAAAGGGTCGGTTGATTAAAATGTACACAAATTTGTACATAATTAAATAAAACGCGGCTAGCTAAATAAATATAGATTTCCAATATATACAAAGAAGAGAAGTGGCGATATATGTAAGCACGATGGAAATAAAAGGAAGAGGAAATGATGGAACGCCAGTGATAAAACGGAAATGCCGGTAATCAAATCTTCATCATGCGCGCGAGAAGGAAGACTGCGCATTTCCATCTTCCCATTCCTTTTCGTCCATCAAACAGTCGGAATGTTCGGATAATCGAATCGACTCATCGATTGTGTAAGCAAATTCGCTTTTCGGAGATTCGCGTTAAAAAAATAGCTGGATTTTCTTAATCACTTGTTTCGCAAAATTTTTACGATGTGTATCAAATATACAGTTTGAAGGGACAAAGAGACGTGATGAAAAATGGATAAAATCTATCTTTATTCCAGTGATTCCGTTGCTTTATTCCGATTCTTTATTTTCGTTGTCGATAATGTAATCAGCACACGCGCTCTGCCTTAAAACGGGGTTAAACGAATTTTAAAGCTTGACGATTTATTTCTTTTTAATATCATTTCAATATCCGATACAGATCGCTATTTTGGAATCGCTATTAATTTCTCATAAATGTAAATTTGTCTTTTTAGCATCGTATATAAAGCAATTTTACGTGTTCATTACGATTACTTACATCTTTTTTTGGTATCTAAAATCCGTTCCAAAGCTCCAGTTAATTGGCATAAATAATCGTCTCAGTTGGCTTGAAATACAAATTTTACACAAAACACCGTAAAAATAAAAATCACATATCGACCAAAAAAAAAAAAAAAATACGAAGAACGTTAGCGGAATAATTCACTTTCGATCAGTAGCATACGCTAACGACTCCTTCATCTCTCTTGCGCTATCGGAATGTTTTTACAATTTTCGTACTCTTCATTAAAAATTCAGCAGCCGTCTGACAATGAAAAATATGCCCAAGTCACACTCCGCGTTTTTAACGTTTCCGTCGTAATTCGCGAACTTATCGCGAATGCAAATTCACGCTTTGCGCCGTCGAATCGCACTGACACGTCGATGCAGTTGCACCTCGCACCAGATGCATAAATACCCGTTTAGGCGTTTCACCTTTACGTAACTGCACTGTCTACAAACTTACAGGGTGTCCTAAAAAGAATCGAGCAGATTCGTCACGTGAACCGTAAAAAGTGATAAGACGAGGAATTGTCGTATAAAATAATATCTAGAAATTATTCGAAATCCTCCATCGAAGACTACATGTCAAAGAGCATAAAATTTCAAACGAAAATTTAGAAGAATCAAATTTCCAAAGGTTTATATGTATGTAAGAAGATTTCTACTTGATTCGTTTTTTATGATGCGTGCAGCTGCTGCCTTTTATGCGATGTAAAATCGAATTTGCTTTCCAATCATACGGTTTGCGATAAGAAACGCAGTTGTAACACGAGAATATCATAAAGCTATATAATGTGGTCTTTTTTTATATGTTTGTCACGATAATTCGAAACAGTCCAAATAAAAGATTGTGCGGCGCATTTTAAACTGAAATCTGTACGTCATCCTCTCATTCTTGGCGCGCCCAAAGTCAAAGGAGTCGCACGAATTTTTCCGAAAATCGATATCACGGACAGAAAAATGTCCTTTCACTGGAGATTCTAAAATGAGAATAAAAAAAGTCTTAAAAAAGAGGAGAATCTGGAGGTTCTCGCGCGAAATTCGCATCATCGAAATCGAGATCGTCGCACAATTTTTCCATGGAATCGCTATCAAGGACGAAAGATTTTTCTCACTTCTCGGATCGTCGTCCTCTTCTCAGGACACTTTTTGAAAAACAGCAAGGATCTTGAGAGATTTACTCGCGCGAGATCCGAATCGAGATCAAAGGATCTTCTGGATGCCGTGAGCTTCGCGAGAAAAAGAAAATCGGCGAAAAGTGAAATCATCTCCTCAGCTCGGAAGGAAAGCTCGCTCTCGGAACAGACGTGCAGGGTGCGAGCCAGGAAGTCTAAACCAGAACCTCGAGACTCTCGCGCGAGCGAGCCTTTTGCTGTCCGCACTTGCCGTTAGCCTGCACTATCATGGCGACCGATTGGCATCCGGTTTCCGAAGCGATCGGCCGTATCGCCGGCATCGCCAGCCTGAGCTTGTACCAAAACTTGCGACCGCCGCTGCCGAAGGAGGCGGTCTCGGTGCCGCTGCCGTTGTCCTGCCAGTATAGGATCGTCAGCCGATCGAACGAGATCGCGTCGACGTCCGGACGGTCCCGTCGCGATCGCTTCGCGATCGTCGCCGTCGTGCTCGGCAGACCTTTCAGCGAGATGACGACCGTCTTCATCGGCAACGACGACAGCTGCTTCAACGCCGCGCCGACACTCGCGTCCGTCCAGACGTTGCCTAGGGATGCTGGGCTGAGCACGACGATGATTCGCCGGGCCGTGTTGGCGTGCGGGCCGATCTCCAAGCTCCCTGCGACGAAAAAGAGACATTTTTATTGAATTGCAATTTTTTAATCATTTAACAAATTATTTATATTAAAATAAAAATTTTTTATCATTTTTTGCACCCTTATGTCTCTTATTAGCCCTTTTCGTACTGAATTTGTATTTGTACTATATATGAAGCCTTTTCAATTTATTTTTCGTCTTTTTATTAATCTTTTTTTTCTTTTTAATATTTTTTCAATATTTGTAGAACAATACAAGCGCGCACGTGCCATTTTTCAATTTTATATTAAAAGGAATATTTTTGAAAAAAATGATAAAATAAAAATCAAGTTTATTTAAACTCGATTTTCTTACAGAAATCAGTTGATTGGAGCATTAATTTGCTATTTATAGCGAAATGAAATTACAGTATAATTAAGTAAATTAGGAATCATTAAAATACTATTCTGTTTAAAACGAAATTTATAATCGTTTTCGGCGAGAAAATACATTACTCTAACAATAGCAAAATTTGTTATACAATAAACTAACTAAGTTTGATTGTTCTGAAATTATACACAGACATTAAAGCAATAAAGTCAATTTCTGTAATAGGTACAGAGTATGAAATTTAAGTCAAATTAGGAGTCATATATAATTTACACTTATTTTATTAGATTTAGAGCAAAAGTTCTCATAATAATAACATTTAACCTCTGACTCACTATTATTATGTTTAAGCAAAAGCTCATATATTTAACCTCGATTGCTATTTTTGACAGAAATCAGCTGATAACTGTCAAAAATATTAATCAAGTTTAAAGTATTATAACGTATCATTTAAAATGTACAATTTTTATTTTTTATAACATATAATTATTTTAAAATTCACTTGACAAATTAACGCTTTAATCAGCTGATTTCTATAAAAAAATATTAAAATAGTAATGTGTTGCAAATAATATGTTATAATATCTTATTTAATACTTTTTGACAGAAATCAGCTGATGACTGTCAAAAATATTAATCGAGTTTAAAGTATTATAACGTATCATTTAAAATGTACAATTTTTATTTTTTATAACATATAATTATTTTAAAATTCACTTGACAAATTAACCTTTAATCAGTTGATTTCTATAAAAAAATATTAAAATAGTAATGTGTTGCAAATAATATGTTATAATATCTTATTTAATACATTTTGACAGAAATCAGCTGATGACTGTCAAAAATATTAATCGAGTTTAAAGCGTTATAAAACATATTATTTAAAACATTATTTTATTTAATTATATTTTGATAAACTGTCAAACTGCTAATCCTCGCGATGACAGTAAAAAAAAAAATGTATCAATTATTCTTTCACGATAATGAAGAGATAAACTTTCTAAAAAATTCAAAGAACAAAACTTTTATAAAATAATCGTACCGTTATCGGATTGTGAAAGAGGAATGGGGGGAGAGAGAGAAATCTGCGTATAGGTACATACATACACAGATAAATCTCAAATTTTCATCAGAAATGTCGGTTATGGTATTTTTCCTGTGAAACGTATATTCGCGGTCCGATTACAGAGTCAACTCTCCGGCAGAGTGCTGAATTTTGCACGTATACGCTCCCTTTTTCGAGGCACTCTGGAAATATTGTCCGCCGGTGGGGTGGACGACTGCGGATTTCACGGACGATAAAGTGAAAGCAAACCGACGTTGCGGCGTGAGCAATAAAAAGCTGCGCCTCCCTACCCCTTTCCCCGCGTTTCACCCCCTCAATCTACATCGGTAATGTATGAGTTTTACCTCGCGCCACCGTGTATACGTACGTATATATCCCAGCCTTGATGCGGGTTCAGCAAAAACTGATCGACCGAATAGATGCCGGAGCGTTACGCTCCGTTGTTTCCAGAGAAAACTTCGTTAACTTAGAATGGAACGATGATCCAGAATGTACTCAATGGGTATGTGTATGAAAATGTGACGGAGTTTGATTAAAATCACTATTAAATCAGAGACTGTTGAGAAAATAATGGCTCTTCTAGCGATTCGTTTCCGATAGATATGGTTATCGAGGATGGCTTAATTTAGGAAACGTATCGTTTCTATAAGATATTTTTGCTTCCGCGTAAATATATGTACTCAAATAATTGATCGTTGAGATAATTACAGTCGCAGAAAAATATCTTGAATCCGTTTGCATAAAACAAAGCTAAAAAAAACCATGAAAGATGTCTTTCCTTTCAAGAACACCTTCTTAATTTCTAATTAGACTTGGATAAGCTGATTATCTGCAAAATATTCATGTGTATATAGAATTAAATGGAAATTCCATTCAATTAACGCGCGTCTTATCGCAAAGTTGAATTAACATATTCGGAATTTCATGAAAATTCAAATTCCCGGAGATCTCCCCGATAAGAGTGTCGGGGATTAATCGAATCCGAATCGATCGGGGCTGGTTCGCGGGAAAATTTACAGGTCTCCCTCCTGCGGGATTTCCGATATCGCTTTGACAGCGAAACTTTGTTCACAATGACTATCAAACGACCGCGCATAGACGAAGTTCACGATCCCGTGAAATCTCGAGGGCTCATCCTTTCGCGTTCGCGCCAGCCTCCCCTGGAGCAACTTGGCGGCAGACCATCACGCGCAGACCGGATGTGGGGTCTCCTATATATAAGCCACATAATTGGGATACATGGTAATTAGTCGACGGAGCGCACGAAATGTGCCAAAGGTGCAATGTTGTAGAGGCGCGATCAAAGATACGAGTTTGGATATGTATATAATATATAATGCCGTAATGGTATCGTGCACTTCGACGGATAAAACACGCTCCACTTGGCTTCTGCAATCGGTTTAGAGCAGTAAGATATCGGGTAATTAGCTCGCTGACGTTGTTGCGTCCGGGAGCAAAGTGCGCGAAATCTGCAGGAATGCACGAAACCGACGCATCTTATATTATAAAGAGTGATCAGCTTAGAAGATAATTAAGTAATTAGGAGCAATTAGGAGAACTCTGCCTGTTACGTAATTATTATTAAGATAATGTGAGGTAAGGTTCGATTACATAAATACATTTTTCTTTCTCTCTCCGAAATATCTGGCTGTAATTATTTCAATTTGCTTGATTTGTCTTGCTTTTATTATCAATAAAATTCTCTTCAAAATCAATAACAGCTCGGGTTAATGTTCTTCAGCTTTAGAATATTTCAAGTATCCAGTATATTTCCATCTTTTTATATCTTTCTGTTATTAATACTAATTATCTCAGTTATATAATACAATTATTTTTATTATTGCTTATTTTGCTACTAACAGGCATGAAATACAGAGAAAATTTAAAATCTTCGTCATTTCTTGCTGTGTTTATTTAAAAGCAATTATATGTGATGTGTTTAAATAATTTTTTTTAATAATGAACCTATATACCTATATAAATAATTATTATTTAAATTATTAGTATTCTTTGTTGCACAATTTTCAATAACAATCTATTATGTTTTCTCTTATTAATAGAGCAATCGCCCAATTGTTACAGCTAATTTTATTATTCCCCAATTGCACATTAAGAGAATTTTCTCTTAAAATTTACTCTCTGAAAATCATGGTAATCGTGGGGCAATATATGATATTGGAAGAATTTTATAAGTTTCTCTAATCAAATATTTACCACAATAAAAAATATATTGGTCAATACGTAATAAAATGAATCGAACATATGTTTTGAATCTTATTAATTTTTTATCGTGATACAAATTTTCAGAAGAACTCTCATAAAATTCTTCCATGATTTTCAGGGTAAATTCTGTGCATGTATATTAAATTGTCTTAGCAAAGTATCCAATACAATATTGTCCCAAAACGATCATCATGATTTTCAAGGTATATTCTAAGAGAAAATTCTCTTCGCGTAGTGGAAGAATTTTTATTATTTTATTCTCTGATTAATATTTGCTACAATAAAAAATATTGGTCAATACGTAATAAAATTAATCGAACATATGTTTTATATCTTATTGTGGATTTTTTTTTATCGTGATACAAATTTTCAGAAGAACTCATAAAATTCTTCCATGATTTTCAGGGTAAATTCTGTGCATGTATATTAAATTGTCTTAGCAAAGTATCCAATACAATATTGTCCCAAAACGATTATCATGATTTTCAAGGTATATTCTAAGAGAAAATTCTCTTCGCGTAGTGGAAGAATTTTTATTATTTTATTCTCTGATTAATATTTGCTACAATAAAAAACATTGGTCAATACGTAATAAAATTAATCGAACATATGTTTTATATCTTATTGTGGTGGATATTAATTTTTTATCGTGATACAAATTTTCAGAAGAACTCATAAAATTCTTCCATGATTTTCAGGGTAAATTCTGTGCATGTATATTAAATTGTCTTAGCAAAGTATCCTCGTGTCTCACTCTCCTTGTTTACGCACCCTCACCCATCTCTCGGTAACTTCTCGGGCCGAAAATGGCGCGGTGGTACATATTGGGGTCTCTCCGTGCACCTAATTCGATACTGCGGAGACAAACGAGACACTCTACGGCCGAGAGAGCGGCGAACTTTCTAATTCAATTTGCCAAGTTGCCAAGTCGCCGTGATTCCCACGATTCCCGCCGAAGGATCCCCATTACTTTCGGTTAGATCGCGGTCCGCGAAGACCACCCCTTTCTGTCGTGGATAACGATCCCACGGATCGGCGGTTCCTTCCGTGACACCCGGGCCGGTTGCAAATCTTCCTGGTGATGAAATAAATTGCCCCGACAAATGCCTACCTCCGCAATGAAATGGACGCTCGACTTGTCGCGTGAGTAACGAAAAAAAAATGGGAGAAAATAAATAAAATTGCCCTACATTGTTAGCCACATTGCGGCAGTTTCGGAGTTGCAATTGGACTGGAGAGCGATAGAGCAAAAGGAAGAGACCAAGTCCGATATATATTTTGTCCACCGACTAGCTTCCCTCTGCTTTCTGCGCGAAATTCGAGGCAATTGAAAGAACCTTTTGTGGTGTTTAGGATCACGGGGGGAAAAATAAAAAATATTAATATGTACGTAATAAAATTAATCGAACATTTTGTTTATCTTGTTGTGGTAGATATTAATATTTTTATTGTGGTATTAATTAATAAAAATGAATAAATTAATTTATTCAGGGTAAATTCTAAAAAAAATTCTCTCTATGTGTGTCTTCATGTTTCCATTAATTTTAAAATTAATTAAAAAAATTTGTATGTATTTAATGTAATCTCGAAAATGAAAAGAATATATTAGAATAATTAATCTAATTTTGTATTTCTAAATCTGATTTCATTTAATTGAAGTAACAAGCCTTTTAATTAAAGAGATATGTTTCTCTACTCTTAAGCCAGTGTTTGCATTTTGGATGCCTCGATTATTCGGGGTGGTCTTCATTTGTTTCACTTCGACTCTATAAATAACAAATGCAACTCTCCCCCACGCGTCACGTTTGATCTTCCCTCTAATTTGCATCCGCGTTCTCAATTAAATCGTCCGGGAGAAACGAGGACGTCCTTATTACGCGCCTCTAATTCCTAGTTTATCTCGAAACCGCGATCGATCTCGGTGCATTCTCCGCAAAGCTAATCCAATTCCGCACGACCACACCACAATTCGGTAGAGCGAAGAGAGAGAGATAGAGATAGAGAGAGAGAGGGAGGAAAGTGGCTTTTATTTAGCCCTAATTCATAAGCTGCACCCCCGTAAAATTGTTTATCGACCCGTGTCGTCGTCGTCGTCGTCGCCGAACGGGCCATAGAGGCAATTCGTGGCCCACATTCGCCTTGCTACTGAATATTTACCTTCTCTCTCTCGGCCCCTCTGCGGCTCTTACACTTGCCGCATCGCCGCGGAACGCACCGCAAAATAAACTCCATAGGGAGTCTATCGAGCGCGCAAGTCGTGTCGCCCTTTTTTTCTCGCCTTCTTTTCTTTGTTTTTAAAGGCGAAGACTCTCGTTCCTTATGTAACGCGATAAGCATCTCTTGCTGAATCATACATAACGGGTGTCGCAGAAAATTCGATTTCGACAGACCAGCGAAAAAAAATAATCAATATACATATAATTAAGTAATGTATGAAAAAATTAATTAATATTTTTTTTTCTAAAAGAGTTGAGGGTGCCACCGAAGAGGAGATTGAAGGGAGAGATTTTTTTAAGAGAGCCGGCAGCCTCTCCTTCGAGATGGTACTCCGATATTACATCTGCTACCGCGACTATGTAATTATCTGACTCTCGAGAGGAGAGATTCGTTCGCTAATTAGGAGGGAGGCTTACTCACAATTGTGATTCTGATGAGACAGCTCCAAAGCTGTACACTTGTATCGATGCCTAGACTCCAGGGTGGGTATCACAATACCGATCACTAGACTCGAGTCCTTCTCGTGGTAGCACACCAGTGCATCGCATTCCTTCCCATCTGCAATACATAACCGTACACGTAGATAAGCAATCTAACAGATCTAGAAGATGTTTCATCCTTATTTAGATGTATAAGAATTTTTTAAAGATTTTTTTCGAGATTTTACAATATTTATCTCTTTGTAATGATTTTTGTCATAGATAATTTTTAGACAAAAAGATTTTTAATCGTCTTGCAATTTTAGTCATTTAAATTTCAATCACAATGATATTAAAAACTTCTTTGTTATTCTCTTTTTAAAATTGGATATCCATCAACAATGCGCAAAACATTTCGCGAACGTTTGTGAACGTTTATGAACCTTTGTGAACATTTACAAACGTTTGTATAAAACTTGTGAAATTTTTTAATTATTTAGTTTTTAAAACCTTTTCAATATTATAATTTACATTTTTAAAACTTTTACTCTTATCAAAAATTATCTAGTTTTACAGACTTTCGTGAACGTTCACAAACGTTCGCGAATGTTTTGCGCAGTTAGTGGAGATATTTGTGAACGTTTACGAACCTTTGTAAACATTTACGAACGTGTGTATAAAACTTGTGAAACTTTTAAATTATTTAGTTTTGAAACTTTTTAAATATAATTTACATTTTTTTAAATTATCAAGTTTTACAGACGTTCGTGAACGTTCACACAAGTTCGTACCCGGCTTAAGAAAATTTATTCAAAGTTTTGGAACAATTTTAATAAATTTTCGCAAGGTCTCTAAAAATTATATTAAACTCTCAAATCTACAGATTAATATTTTCAACCCTCGATCAATAAAAATCGAAATTATTTCAAAAAGACAAATTAATTTTCCAAGATGAATCAGACGTTCGCGAACGTTCACAAAGGTTCGTACCCGGCTTAAGAAGATTTATTCAAAGTTTTGAAACAGTTTCAATAAATTTTCGCAAGATCTCTAAAAATTATATTAAACTCTCAAATCTTCAGATTAATATTTTCAATCCTCGATCAATAAAAATCAAAATTATTTCAAAAAGACAGATTAATTTTCCAAGATGAATCAGACGTTCGTGAACGTTCACAAAGGTTCGTACCCGGCTTAAGAGGATTTATTCAAAGTTTTGAAACAGTTTCAATAAATTTTCGCAAGGTCTCTAAAAATTATATTAAACTCTCAAATCTACAGATTAATATTTTCAACCCTCGATCAATAAAAATCGAAATTATTTCAAAAAGACAAATTAATTTTCCAAGATGAATCAGACGTTCGCGAACGTTCACAAAGGTTCGTACCCGGTTTAAGAGGATTTATTCAAAGTTTTGAAACAGTTTCAATAAATTTTCGCAAAGTCTCTAAAAATTATATTAAACTCTCAAATCTTCAGATTAATATTTTCAACCCTCGATCAATAAAAATCGAAATTATTTCAAAAAAACATTAATTTTCCAAGATGAATCAGACATTCGTGAACGTTCACAAAGGTTCGTACCCGGCTTAAGAGGATTTATTCAAAGTTTTGAAAAAGTTTCAATAAATTTTCGCAAAGTCTCTAAAAATTATATTAAACTCTCAAATCTTCAGATTAATATTTTCAATCCTCGATCAATAAAAATCGAAATTATTTCAAAAAGACAGATTAATTTTCCAAGATGAATCGTCTTGAAATCACATGACTTTTCAGCGCGATATAGGAACGCGATCGCACATTCCGCGTAATATTCCAAGGAAATTCGCGTCCCTTTATGAATATAAAGCAGAAATTTGGCGTCTCTCCGCGAGCCATTCGATCGTGAGAGCGAGTTTAAATGGAACGGGGATAAAAGGGGATGGGGCGAATGGGGAGAGAGCGTAATAATTCGCGCATTATCGCTTCCGTTTACTCGAAATTTATTCCCGCGTAGTCAGAGCCGCGCGTAACCGTTCACTCGAGAAATAGATTAAATCGTTATCGCTCGCGCACTATTATAACGCGTGAAACGACCGATAGAGGTAAATAATGTGTTCCATAATAGCGCTTATATGACGCAGCCGGTGGTTAAGGAAATCGGTTACGGTACGCTTTTACCTTTTATCATAATCCCGATGATATTTACTGAATCGTTTATGTAAAGTTTAAGGATTTAAGAGGGACAAAAATTGGAAGAAGACTCCGCGAAAATTTAAGTCCTAATTGCTCTCGAGATCGCTGAAATAACTGAAAAAATGTTAGAACTGACAAGTTCCCTTTTAAAATTAAAAAAAAAAAAAATAGAGTAAAAATCTTCCAATATATACATATAATCTGTAAAATTGGATGCATTTGCTAAATGTAAAATTGTCATTTTTTTAATGTAGTTTATAAAATGTAATCTGAGAATATAATAGTATTTATAAAATACAAAAATATTTCGTTAGTAATTTAACAATAGCATATTTTCCACAAATTTTTAAAAAGTGAAAAAGAATCTAATTAAACAAAAAAAAAAAAAAAATATCTGTCGAGGCAATAAAAAAATCGTAGTTTAATGAATAAAAAATTTTCAAAATTTACATATAGATTCTTCGTATTCGATCTATTAAAAAATGGAGCGATTTTCATATTGGATCGAAAATTCAAGAGCAGCGGGCTTCTCTCGCAGGCTTTCGCTCGCAAAAATTCCGAACGACGGAAAAACGTCGCGGCCGATTTCTCCGAATGTTCTACGACATCGCCGCCTTATATGAAGATGACGAGTGCAAAAGGGAAGAAGATTACGACGATTACCGATAAATTCCGGGAACGCGCGCGGCACGAGACGCTATTTCGTCATTAGCGGCCAAGTCCTTCTCCGTCGTCGGCGACGTATCATTTCTGTGTCGGTCGACCGCGATGAGGTTCGCCGGGTAATGATTATCTCGTTGCATGGCTAATGTCGCAAATTGCGGCTCCGCATAATTGGGACCCGACGCGACGCGACGCCGCAATTCGACAGGAGGCGAAAAAGAGACATCGAAGAGGATGACTTCAAGATTTCGGGTGTTATTTCGAAATTATTTCTCCGAAACTTATTTGGATTTTTTCGAGGAAAGAGAATGGATTCTTGCGCGGGAAAAAATTCAATCGTTCCTGTAAATTGTATATAAAAATTGGTCGACTCTTTTGAGAGAAGGAAATTTCGTATGAACTTTTGATTCTTTGAAATATTGAAAATTTGATGAAAAATAATTTTTCGCGAATATTTGGAGAATTTATTTCAATGTTTTATTCCCAAGGCTGCAAACATGAACATTTCTGCATATAAATACGTAAATAGAGTGTATTTCTAAACGCGCGATTAAAACAGGTATTTATGTATATGTAATCCTACTTATATATAATAAATAAGCATAATTTGCAAAGAGACAGTTTCGCTAATGAGTTACATCATTTAATCGTTCATATTACTATTAGAGTGTCTGAAATATTGAAGCCCCAGGAAATGGCACGTAGAAAGAACGGGAGAGAAAGAGAGGAACCCGCATAAAATCCTTTGAAAGTTCCTACTCTTGGTGGAATTAGCGTTACTTAAGTAAATTGCGAGAGAGTGGGAAGAATTAAAGTGCGATCGGTGGTGAGCAAAAAAAAAAAAGGTAAATAAAAAAAAGCAGAAAAAGACGCAGCACATTCAAAGCTTCAACTAAATCGAGACTCCTATTTATGCGAACTCTTCCCCATAAAAGAAAAAATGTCCCGTAGGAATAAAAAGATATTGTGCACCGTCTTTTGCGTGTTGCAAAAATTTTCCTCTTTTCTCTTCTCTTTCGTTGCTTGCTCTTAGAAAGATTGAAATTCATTAGAAACCTACGAATCCTCGAAATGTGTTTTAAATTCTTTATTTTTATATTAGTTAATATTTTTAAAAAGTTAAAACCTTGTAGATTTTTTTTTTTAATTTGTGAGATTTAAAATTCTAGAATCATAAAACTATAAACGAAAATTTCTTCACGTTATCCTTTCTTTGATAATTTATACACTTCTACAAATTATTACGGATTAATATTATAGATATAGCATATAAATTTCACACAACTAATATAACACAAACTAGATCGTTTCCTACGAAATTATATAAAGCGATCCTTCTGGATCTCGCGTTCCTTTTAAGATAAGCAGTTCTATAAAATATCATCCCTTTCAATTTGCAATAAAGACTCCCCGGACGATGCAGTTGCAAAAGAAGGAAAAAGGAGTTCGAGAAGGATATTAAAACGCAAATGTCCGTGAAAGGATTCTCGCGGGACTCGGTTCGCTATCAGCATTATTTAAACAAATCGAGAGAACAACGAAGCGGGAGAGAAAACGACGGCGAAATAAAGCCGGAAGGATTAAGGCGGCGATTGGCGGCGTAAGGGAAAAAAGGATCAAGGAACAGCCACTTTAATTTCCATACCGAAGTCCCGTGGTACTTCTCACCGTAATTAAGAGTCGCAATTAAGTGGGCGAAAAAGCGTCGCTGATAATTATCCGGCAGCGCCCCAAATTTGTTGCCACGAGAAAAAAAAAAAAAAAAAAAAAAAGGACGAGAAGCAAACGAAGACGAGGATCCTCCTTAGGATCTCCTTAGAATCTCCTTGGGATTAGAGGGAAAATCCTCGAGCGCGACTTCGGATTTTACGTCCAGCCGTATTCCCGTCTTCCGACAATGAGATTTCCACCGTTTAAGGATCTTCGAATTAGGAAAGTGGAGCGAGATAGAGAGGTATACGGTGTTATGTCTAAAGAAAATTCAACTACAATCCAAGTGGAGCTTCCCCGATAAATTTTTGCGCTTTTACAATTTTGAATTTGTTGTAGAAATAAATCTCTCTCTCTCTCTATTTTCTGCGAAAGCGTGTTCTTATTTTTAAGTTAAGAGACTCTCGCGTTATAGAAATCCTCTTAAATTTTAAAGAAAAGAATTTCAGGGAAGAGATTAAGTCTTGATCCTGCAAAATTGAACGTTAGTCCTTGGCTTTACTCTCTAGAATCTATATAAAAAAAAAAAAAAAAAAAAAAATCCTTGAAAATTCTTAAAAATTCGAGAATTGTCGAATTTTCACAGTTCATATAGATTTCTCGATGCGATTTCCCTGTCTTCGAGATAGCGTTTGAGATCGTGCGAAGAAGTTACTTGCAATTTATAGACTCACCGTTCTCCTCGAGGCGACCAAACTTGTCTCTGTAAAGTAATGCAAGTGGCAGCCAGCAACGCGCATAAAATGCACCGGCTGATAACAACAGAACGAGGAAGAGAACCGCTAACAGAAGAGACTTCCGCCAGGATCCATTCGGAAGGCTTAACGCGAATTGTGGTTCTGCAAATTAAAAAGGAAAAAAATCGAATATACATAATAAGTATAAAAAATATTTTATTTAATTTTATTGAAAAATATTCAATTGATTTAATTAATTAATTTTAATGGAAATTTACAAAAATAAAATAAATGCGCTTATTTATATAAAATCTATTATAAAATAGTATTTATATTTTGATAAAAATAAAATATAAAAGTATAATGTTTCAATATGAAAATATTTTGTTTTAATTAAAAATTTGAATAAAAAAAATTTCGCGCAAAATTAAAAAGCATATTGCGTTTTCTTAAACGTATTCATATTAGAGAGCAATAATAATGGAATGTTACAGTGTAAACATCCACGAGGTTAAATTTGACAACAAATTAAATTTGAATTTAATTTGGAAATGGTATTTTATCGTTGCGTGACGCGTTGTGTATCAATTTCCTGTCTGACATTAATTTGTCATAATAATTAAAATCGATAAAACAAATCGCGCGTTGACATGCGGTTTGACAGTCAGATACATTTTCGGACCATTTGCAACAGTTATTAAAATAAATTCGGTGCTAGTCTGTTTTTACGCGAATAACGCCTCAAAATGAAGCAAATGCATTAAACCGTAATAGACAGTAAATGGCCTGGTTGTAATAACAAACAAGATTATTTTATTTGTCATTATATTTCACATTTTAATTCAAATAAAATTTTTACGAGACGTTTTCAAAATTAAATATTAATCCACAAATGTAATTACATTAATACATTGTATTACATGTAAGTGTCAATTTTTTTATTTTAACCTTTTAATTTTCATCAAATAAATTCACGCACAATATTTCAGATTTAATTCAAATAAAATTTTTACGAAACGTTTTCAAAATTAAATATTAATCCAAAAATGTAATTATACATTAATACATTGTATTACACATGTAAGTGTCAATTTTTTTATTTTAACCTTTTAATTTTCATCAAATAAATTCACGCAATATCGTTCGATTAATTCTCGGAATAATTTGTAATTGAAAAAATTTAATTCAAAGTTATTTTCACTGAAAATCGTAGCGTTATAAAAGATGAAAAAAAGATGGAAAGTTTCAAAACATTTACCTTGTCGGTATAGATGAGCGGGCAATGTAATCTCCTCGTCGACACCGTTGCTGACTTCGCATTTGTACTCGCCATAATCCTCGAGAGTAACGTCCTCGATTTCTAAATAAGAACCGACTATCTGGTCGTTCTCCCTGCAAGCAGAAATGCGCACAAAAGTTATTTAAATTCTGAGGGAAACAGCTCAAAATTTTCGATAATTTAGCGTTCAGCTAGACGATGAGACATTGAAACATCAAACATTTTTAATTCTTGAAATATCAAAATAATTGTGATTTATTAATTATTTTAACTAACATTGATCCATTTTTATTAATTTGAGGAGATTAAAAATTTTTTTAAACTTACAAATTTTAAGGGAATATGCGTACTTAAAATTATTTTAATTTTTAGTTTTATTCCATATTTTAATTATATATCTCATTTAATCGTCGTCAAATTGCCAAGGATATAAATAATTCAAAGCTTTTTGCAAGCACCTCATAAATCTCACATCATCAATTTACATTTAGAAGCAAAAAAAAAAAAAAAAACGCACCCACACATTCTATTCTTTGAATATAAAACTTGATAAAAAATTTTATCACTGACATTCGCTATAATTGAACGCCATTTCCCCGGCTATCTCGAATTTTTTAAACCTCGAATTACGCTCCGGATGCATGGACAACGCGAAAAAATGCGGCATTACTGCACTTTTTTTGCGGGCACGTTTTACAATCTAGAATGCATTGAGGGTGACGCGCGTGTGTATTTTCCGCGCCGCCGTGTTCGTTTTTTCGGCAGTTGTCGACCGAATGGTTGTCCCTCTTTCACCCAAAATCTCCCTTTCTCTTTTAAACAAAATAAAAAAAAAAAAAAAAATCTACGTTTTATTTTGCGGTGCGGCGAGCCGCGCGAGAGAGTCTGTGCGTCCCGTTACACAATCATTTAACGCACGGAACATTTCGCCATGCTAATTTAATTACGAGCGGCTGGGCGACTTACCCGCGCAATTAATTCCCACCGCATAATTTCATTCATTCGGCCCTTTCGTTCCCTTCGCCTTCGCCTCGCAGCGCAACAAAAGCGCGGACGTGGAAATGCGAACAAATAAATTCGGGGTTTCGTACAGCGAATAGAGAGAGAGAGAGAGGGATCGTGTCCGATTAAAGTGCGATGGAATACGGTAAAGTACGATGGGAAAATAAAGTAGCACGATCGATTGAATAATCATCGGATAATTTGGATAGAAGCGGATTGGATCGTTCACGATATATAAAAAAGTATATATTTTTTTCAAAAATTTAATTTATATAAAATCCACTAAAGTATGAAAAAATTTCTTTCCTGACACACACAATTAAATTTAGTAAAATCGAATTATTTTATCTCTCGCGGCGTAAACGTCTGCGGTGTTTCAGGTTACGGTAAATTTATGGAAATGTGGAAAGTTGGGGAATTCGTATAACATTATACTCTACGGTTTTAAAGTCAAATGTGATATTACAGAAATACAATTCATGGTATAAATTACACATCTAGAAAGATTTAACGCGAGAAAAATAAATTGAGTTTTTTCATGTTTTTAAACAATATAATATTTTGAGAAAATAACATATGTTTTATACACTCTCTTTATATTTTATTATACTTGAAAAATGATATAATCTCTCCCGTTTTATATAGTATATGTATCTTTTTTGCGAAATAATTTTCTGAATTTTTATGACGTCATTTTCTTGCAAAATATAGAAAAGTTCTCCCTTCCAATCTACGAAAAGATTCGGTGGACAAATATCCGGTAAATTCGTCTGTTGCGTATCGTTCGCTGATTAAAATTCGATTTGCCGGGATTTATCTGATCGAAAGAGCAAATCGAACGGGAATTCGGGTGGTCTTTCATCTCATCGCGTCGCGTCGCCCGATTTTGGGAGCTGTTTGTTGTTCGCGCCGCGCTGGCCGCTATTTAGCGGATCGAAGCACGCGCCCGAGCGTGACGTTTATGTGCTCGCGATGACATTTATGAGAATCGTGCAGTTTGTACAGCGCCCCGTACCCGGGCCCGCTTTCTCCGCAATTTACCAGCTCTACGTTGGCCAAATAAATCGCGATACCCGCGGCATGACACAGTCGATAGCATCGACCGAGGTATGTGAACTCTCTCCGTCTTCATCTCGAATCGAGATCTCTGTCGAGCTGTGCCCCCTCACCATTTGTCAAAAATAAAAAAATTATAGCGCATAATATCAAATTGAAATAGCTCGTAAATAGCTTCTAATTCTGCCACAAAAATTGATTCAATATTTTTATTTTTAAATAGTGGGGGGCTGAATCGACTGTCGAGCTGGCCCCCCACTTTTCAAAAATAAAAAACCTAATAGCGCATAATAATGAGCTGATATTATAATGTAAAAGCTCATAAATAGCTTCTAATTCTGCCATGACGATTGATTCAATATTTTTATTTTTAAATAGTGGGGGGCTGAATCGACTGTCGAGCTGGCCCCCACTTTTCAAAAATAAAAAAAATTGATAGCGCATATCAAATTGAAAGCTCGTAAATAGCTTCTAATTCTGCCACAAAAATTGATTCAATATTTTTATTTGTAAATAGTGGGGGGCTGAATCGACTGTCGAGCTGGCCCCCCACTTTTCAAAAATAAAAAACCTAATAGCGCATAATAATGAGCTGATATTATAATGTAAAAGCTCATAAATAGCTTCTAATTCTGCCATGACGATTGATTCAATATTTTTATTTTTAAATAGTGGGGGGCTGAATCGACTGTCGAGCTAGCCCCCCACTTTTCAAAAATAAAAAAATTATAGCGCATAATATTAAATTGAAAGCTCATAAATAGCTTCTAATTCTGCCACAAAAATTGATTCAATATTTTTATTTTTAAATAGTGGGGGGCTGAATCGACTGTCGAGTTAGCCCCCCACTTTTCAAAAATAAAAAACCTAATAGCGCATAATAATGAGCTAATATTATAATGTAAAAGCTCATAAATAGCTTCTAATTCTGCCATGACGATTGATTCAATATTTTTATTTTTAAATAGTGGGGGCTGAATCGACTGTCGAGCTGGCCCCCACTTTTCAAAAATAAAAAAAATTGATAGCGCATATCAAATTGAAAGCTCGTAAATAGCTTCTAATTCTGCCACAAAAATTGATTCAATATTTTTATTTTTAAATAGTGGGGGGCTGAATCGACTGTCAAGTTAGCCCCCCACTTTTCAAAAATAAAAAACCTATTAGCGCATAATAATAAGCTAATATTATAATATAAAAGCTCGTAGATAGCTTCTAATTCTGCCACAAAAATTGATTCAATATTTTTATTTTTAAATAGTGGGGGGCTGAATCGACTGTCGAGCTGGCCCCCACTTTTCAAAAATAAAAAACCTAATAGCGCATAATAATGAGCTAATATTATAATGTAAAAGCTCATGAATAGCTTCTAATTCTGCCATGACAATTGATTCAATATTTTTATTTTTAAATAGTGGGGGGCTGAATCGACTGTCGAGTTGGCCCCCATTTTTCAAAAATAAAAAAAATTAATAGTGCATAATAATGAGCTATTTATGAACTTTTATATTAATTTAATACTTTTTGTAGGGGGTCCACGTTGACTCGGCCCCCTCATTAAATTCCCCATTAAATTCTTGCCCAATGCAACGAGCTCAAAATGTTTAATTTGCTGGATATAAAAACTCATAAATATCTCATTATTATGCACTATTGATTTTCTATTTTTGAAAAATGGGAGGGGGGCAGCTCAAAGCTCGACAAGGGTTGAATCGAGGATACTCTAGAATTCCATAAATTCCGTGAATTCATTGTAGAAAGCTTTCTTGAATCAGCTCTGAATAGCGGTCGCTTGAATAAATTTTAAATCGGTGGGAGAAAAAAAAATGTAAATCGATTTAAATCGATACGTTGAAGTGTATAAATATGATTCGAAGAGCGGTGCGATTTAAAATTATTGTGTCTCGGTTGTCTGTTCCAGGTATTACGGCGGCTCTTTATTCGATTGAAGTGACGTGATCATCATTGACTCGATTCTACGAAACGCTCTATAAATTCCGACCCGTTAAGTTGATTAAAACTATTCCAATTGATGGCAGCATATATATATATATTGAACTTTCATGGCCAATACTCCCGCTGCTAATCGATTAATAAGAAACACCGGGTGTTGAAAAAATATATGACGTCGGTATAGATAAACCAGAGATTAAACAGTCATTTAAAAAATAACAGTTATTTAAAAAATTATGCAAAATAAAAGGAAAGAGGAATTTGTTTTGTGTATTATTTTTATACATATACGTATACATGCACTTATCAAATAAACTTACAAATTTACATTGCTTCTACTTTTGTTCCATAAATATCCGAGAGAATTTTTTTCGATCAATTTGTTACATAAAGCTCGAATCTGTTTTTCCTCTTCGTTTCTTGTTTTTTTTTTTTTATATTCGTTTGAAATTCGTTACTCATTTCCTATTGCTATCCTATATTCCCATTTTCCTCTCCGTCAATTCTCTCCTCCTCTCTCAGTCATAGATTACGCTTGTCGAACAAAACTATTTTTCTCTTCAATAGGACGAGATTATCGATTGTTCGCAGCGAAAATGCCATGTAATCCACCTCCTCTCCCAGGGTGGGAAAGGGAGGAAAAAAGCTCGCGAGCTGCGCGAGATTCGACACATTAATGGTTGGGGAAGAGGGTCAAAAAAAAGGCGAGTGTCGAATGGAACAAAACGTGCAAGAGGAAAATGAGAGAATTAATACAATTTTTCAATATTTTCGGTAAAAATAACACGATGGAAAGAGCGATTTTTTAATACACGGAGAAAAAAGAAGGAAAAGCAAGAACAAGATGAATCGCATTCTGGTTTCGTAAAATCTTATGTTAAATTCATTGACGATTAAATAGATTTGTGTGAAAACGAATTGAAAAAAAGAAAAGAGCAATTTTTTATTTAAAAGATAAACAAAATAAAATATAAAAAATATATCATTAATCCGATTACTTATTTAATTGATGATTTGTTCTTTAATATCTGACGTGGATAATTGCGTACTTAAATATTTTTACATTAATTAATAATTAATAATTTCCATGTAAAAATACATG